CTGCTGCTGATGCTGTGGTTTTTGCTGCTTGGTGGTTGGTTCCTCGACGACTGGTTGCAGAATTGGGTCCTTAAAGACAGCATTGGCACGTTTGGTCTGAATCTTTTTAGTCTGCGTCTTCTCTGAGCCTGGCTTTATACCGACTTCAGCGTTAATGATGGTATTCACTGCTGGCTTTGTACTAATGGAGTGAATGGGGCGCTGTGCTGGGCGAGCAAGACAGAGCGGCTTCTCGGTGATTTTGATAGTGTCCTTGGATGGGAGAGAAGAGTCATCTTTAGCAGATCGAAGGGAATTGACGGTGTTGCTGACATCGCCAAAGGCAGCACGTCTGACTGGCTCCTTGCTGGTAGCGTTGCTGTTGCAGCTGCTGTTTGCCAGAGCCGACAAGGCAGGCGACGACTTGTTGCGGTGATGAATGGTCTTTCCAGCGCGGTTGAAGGCAATCATGTTCTCATCGACTCGACCGCGAAGGGTGCGAGCTGGTCTCTGTGGCTGTTTGTAGAGCATTAATTAGTCCAAACAAGTCCTTCAAGTGACAAATTGACGGGTGCAGGAGGGCGTGTAGAGGTTGGAGGCAGCAGGGGAGGTGACCGGCAGCTAAAGGGGCTACAATACCTTTGCGTCCATGGCGAAGTCGACGACGACAGAGACTGATAAATAGACAGGAGACGAAGAGAGTCTACTGTCCAGCTATCATCAAGAAGAATACAGAGTATCGATATAGAGAGCGGTCTTCTGTGGATAGGATGTTTGTTGATAAAGTGTCTCTCACTTGGCCTCAGTTGTTGTTGTTATTGTTGTTGTGGGTGCTGTTGCTGAGGCAGTCGTCAAGGTAAGATAGGCGGGAAAAAGGGATCACACAGCAGCCCATGTAAAGCAAAGGCAGAGACCAAGACGGGCGAGCTGTTCAGTCAATCAATCCCCTGGGCAGGCTGTCCGCGCCCTCGAAGTGTGTCTCTCCGCTGGTCGTCCCGCAGGCAGTCCGTCGTCCCGTTGCTGTCGTCCTGGCGTCGTCCTGGCGTCGTCGTCGTCGTCTGGCTGGCTTTTGCTGGTGTTTTATTTTCTTTTCTTGTTGCTGGAAAGAGAAGAAAATAAACAAAGCTAGGCCGCATGCGGTTAGCGCCCGACGGCGGCCTGGCTAAGCAACCAAAGTCTTGGCAGATTACGTCATGCCATTAGTCGCGCGGCGGCGCGTCTCCCCCAAGAGCCGCAAGAAGGCGTTTGTGCATGCTAAGCGCGCGCCTGGCCTGCGGACGGCGAGATATTTTTTCCACGAGCTGCGGCGGGCGATGCGACAAGGCTGGCGAGCAGTTTGCTCCCTGCAAAGACGTCCAGTGGCCGCTGCAGGGGAGTTCGTGGGGAAGCCGCTTTTTGCGTGTCGAGGAACACGAAAAGACGCCAACCCACGTGACCTGGACCTGCCTCATTTTTCTTTGCGGCGACGACCTCAAAGCGACTAAAAGGGCAAAAGCAACGACCGGTGGGAACAGACGGCGTTCGACGCAGCGACAGCGCAGGACAGGCCGGCTGACGGGGCGCCAGCAGAGGGCGGCGGAGGGCAGATGAAGGCTGCGAGACGCAAGGGACAGGCCGACAGAGGCATCTCCTGACGTCAGGATGGGTCAGTGACCCCGATTTTAGTGCGGATGGCTGCCGGCTTCGTCCCGGCCGCTACCGACACAGCCTGCCCACCGTTTGAACGGCGGCGATGCGACAAGAAGAAAGAAAAAGGGCCCATCGAGTCGAAGCGACGCCGGCATCGCAAGGTCCTCGGAGCGCTGGGCTGTTCCCCGGGGGGTCCTCCTCCTCGCCGGCGCTGACACAAGCCAGCAGAGAGAAGCAACCAGGGCCGGACGCTCATTCATTTCGGTCACAGGATCCCTCTCATCGCAGCGCACAATATTCCGAGCCCGCGATCGCAGGAACTTGCGAGAGCCAAGCGGGTTTCACTTTTTTCTTTTACAACAAACATGCATCCAGTCGCCTGCTCTAGCCTATTGTTGTCGCATTCACCAGCTTAGCCGTGGTGCCACCGGGCTCTCGCTGAGGTCGCTCCCCCCCGTCGCTCAGGCCTCAAACTGCCGTTTCGCCAGCATTGTATCAGATCCCTATTTTTTTTTTTTTTTTTTCCTTTTAAAAATATACTCCATATATATATATATATGAACATGTATAAACGTATGGGGGACAGCGTCAGAGGGCCCTTGTATCGCAAACCCCCGGAAGGAAAATAAGGGTCTTCTTCACACGACCGCGAGAAGGGAGAACGGGGGTGAATCAGTGCCGGCGCAGTGGGAAAGCTGGGAAGCCAGAGCAGCGTCTCAATCCATTGCGACTGGCCATTGATGCAAGTTTGCGCCGGATGTTAGCGAAGAAGCGCAGCATATGTTTCCTTGACTCTTCGTCGATACGGGGTCTGGAGTCGCAAGGCGCAAAAGAAAAGAAACAAGGCCGAAGAGAGAGAAAGAGAGATTTAAAGCATGCATTAATATATATTTCATCATGCTGGAGCTTCTTCCTGCTGGGCCGCTGGCTGCTGCTGCTAATAATAATAATGAACTAGCCTGCCGCTTCTGCTGTCTGGCCGACTCATGCATCGTTCGCCCTCGAGAAGTAAGACAGACCAACCGCTGCGAAACGAGGCAGAGGAAGGTCGTTCGACCTGTGCAAGTTCCTTAAGTTTCTGCTCCTGCGGAGACCGAATGCAGCGCGAAGTGGCCGGCGCATGAAGCAGTCACTTTTATAACCTTCCTCACACTAGATCGCCAGCGCCACCACGATGCCATGGGATCTATCTCAACTATCGCCGAGAACGACCAGCAGGGAGGGCAGGCGAGCAAGCGAAACATGAAACTATTGACCACCCGTTGGTTGGTTGGTTGGGGTTCGTTATTGGGGGTGGTGGTGGTTTGCTTATTGCTATTTATTGCTATCTCAGCTCCTCCTCCTCCGCTGCCCTCGATTGCGCTGCTTCTGCTGCGGCCACGTCAGGGAACGAAGGGACCGCCCTGTTCCTCGATCGCTCGGGTTACTCTTCAAGAAGAAAAGAAACCTTCCTGACTCCTCTTTCCCTCTGCCCCATCCCTGTCCACTTAACTAAAGGACCGCCAGCTTTGGGAGTCTCGGAAGTGTAGGAGAAAGAAGGGAGAGCCGGGGTGGGATAAGAGGATCAACCCGTCAACGTCCTCCGTTCCCCCCAGCCGCTGGATACTTGAACAACGCATTGAAGGTCCGCCCTGTCCCCTAGTTAGCTAACAATGCGGATCGAATCGAATCGAAGGGTGCGAAAACCATGTATGGTTTGACTACACAACTTAACACACACACCCCTTGTTGCGCAGTGTGCCGCTGGGTGTTGAGCGTGGCCAACCCAAGCTGCAGAACTCGGGTGGATCGTCGCAAAGACATGGCAAATGGACCCAATCCTAGGCACATTTAGGTTACAGGTCCTCTCATCCCAGGATTAACAACGACGGGCTCTGCTTTGGAAGAACCAAGCAAGCAGACCAACAGCAGCGGCAGCAGCAACCCAGCATCAGAGAGAGAGGGAGAGAGGGAGACTGCCGAACTTCCCCGGCACAACCAGCTCATATACTTCCGGGCTGGCCTTTTTTTTTTGATAACTAGTTACTAACTTGGAGAGAAAAGAGCGAGGGCTTTCCGCCGATTCTAGATGGACACAAACGACGGGCTGACAGTGGCCTGGCTGACGGACCAAACTGGCTTGACGGTTGATAGACGGACGACCTGACAGCAGTTCAGAGCGCATTAGCAGCCGGAGCGTCATGAGGCGTAATTGGGCCTCGTGCCTTGGTTGCGCATAGGGATCCTGACCGAGTCTGTTCTGTCTTTGGGCAGCGGATGCGCATCGCATAGTAGGAAGGGGTATGTGATAGACAGGCCGTAGAGACCAAGTAGCAGCCCGTAAACAGAAGACACAGGCAGCCCAGCCCGGTTCGGCGCCTGCGTCCAGAGCCTTAAAAAGGGCAGCAAATGAACTAGCAATAATAATACGCTGCATGACTAGCTGAGATAACTCTCGCTGACCTGGCCGGCGGTGGTGTGAAACCTCCTCCACCGTTCGTTCGCAACCTACATCCACACATCATCATTCTTCCTCCCTCGACCCTCGCTGCACCGCCCAACAACCTCCTCGGCCAGCCTGATATCCCAGACTGCTTCGTCCTGCCGCCTGCTCAGTAGCCACGGCCTGCCGGTAAGTCGTCTGTCCCCTCGCCGGCCTCGTCTGCCCTCCAAAGCCGCTCTATAATTCTTGCCGCTGATCTCCATTCTGTGACAGGACCCAGACATCTCACAGCGCCCCCAAGGCCATCATCACCACCTTGCCAGCACCCAGCGTCTACTGGACAGACCCCCAGCACACTCTCGTTGCGATCTTGCGATCCATCCCTCGCCGTCGTCTCCAGCTGTAGGTATCTCCCTGGCCGCTGTGCTGCTGTTTTTCTCCCTGTCTGCTCGCCCTGCCTCTCTCTCTCGAGCGGCCATGTTTTCCCCTACCCGGGACAACACACACCTTTGTCTGCCTGGAATAGGGAGCCAGCGTCTGCCCTATTGACGGGCCGGCAGGACACAATTATCTATTCTCCCGCCCTCTATTGTCGCTACAGACTGCTAACTGCGCCCTCTCTTCTATTTATACAGCTCGCTTGCTCGTTGCCGGTTATCCTGCCTAACTAGAAATTTCCACTCGCTCACCGGCACTTCCGTCAGCCAGCAGGATATACCTCCATCGCCATCTCTCTGCGACCAGGCCTGCCTCCCTGGCCGGATTATACACTCGATTCCCTACCTCCTGACACCTCCTATCTCATCTTTTTGCCCCGGAACTTGTATGGGAACTGCATAACCAAAGAGTCGGTCTCAACCCTACCAAAGCCCCTTCGTCGCATTCGCCCTAACTGCACCATCAACAACGCCATCGCCCAGCAGTCCGAGGCAATAATCCATCGGATATGCCTCAGGAACCGCGGGTGAGAATGCATCCATCGGCTCATGACTGTGAGGTGTCAGGATCTGGCGGCCCGGTCTCCGAGAGCCAGGCATACTATGACGAGCAGCCCCAGGCTGACCGTCCGGCCAAACATGAGTCTCCTTCAAACCCGTCTCCAAAGCATGTGGCCTTCGAGCTGCTACTCGACGAGTCCTCGAAGATGCGAGCTCGCATTCCAATGAGAGTCCAGATCTATCCCCATGACACTACCGACTCCATCGTCACTACGGTCAAAAATTTCTATGGGATCTACGAAGGCACCGCCAGCGGCGTTAGCTTTGAGGACCAGGATGGCAACACACTCATTGCCAGGTATGAGAACCTCAAGAACAGCATGACCGTCTATGTCCGAGTGATACCGAACCACCATTACCCCGAACAGCACTCACCGCCATCATACTATGCCGTCTCCCCGATGGACAACTACTCCCGGCCTACCCTTGGCGAACCATTCTCTATGCCACCTCCCCAGGGCAACCAGGCTATCAACTATGGCCAATCCGTCTCCCGTCCTACTTCGCGCGCTGCTGCTGGAAAGCGAAGTGTCTCTCCTCCCGCCCGAGGTCGCCGAAGCGCCTCGAGGCAGAAGTCATCCCGAGCGGGTGTCAAGAGCCGTGGCTCAAGCACCCATGGAAGCTTCCATGATGACGCCCATATGCCTTGCAGCGACAGTGATGGAGGCCACAGCTCAGTAAACGGCTCAAGAAGGCCCAAGAGTGAGCACTTTGGTAGTGCTGATATCAGCATGGAAAACATCCTCCAGGATGGCAGAAGGAAGCGTCCGAAGTTCGAGAGCTCGGTAAGTATCAAGCTCTCCAGACCTTAACCCACCTGTTCCCATATATAATCTCGGTATTAATGTATTTCATCCCAGGAACTCCCCTTGTTTGCTCCTCCCCAAGTGCCTCGCACAACTTCGGCATCCTCCATTTCTCCCCAGCGACGCTCCCTTGCACCCGATGCCTCGCCATTCGCAAGACCCAGCCAGAACGCTTTCAGCGGCTACCAGGCGCTTGCCTCCCCCCAGGGCTTTGGCAACCACGAGAAACTACATTCTCTTCAGAATGGGAGTGGGAATAACCCGTATGCGACTCCAACTGTCCCACATCATGGCCACAGGCTACGGAATCGAGCCAACTCCAACTCGGCAGTTCACTACGCTACTCCAGTGAATGGCCATGGCATCTTGCCTACCCCTGATCCAACCATTGCTAGTTGCATCTCGGATGAAGACGTTGCCATGCAGCTCATCAGGCTTGGAGACACCTCCAACTTCTCCCACGGCCGTAACTCCACCTCCACGGTTGACGATGCATTCAGCGGTATTGCCGATGCCGCCTCTTCTACCGGCGCAACCACAGACATATCTGATGTCAGTGGTGACGAGACCGACCTACCAACCAAGATTAGAGAGCGTCGTGCATCAAGTGACTCCCTGCCAGGCTTGCCCAAGAAGAACAAGACGTTGGACGAGATCCTCCCCAGCTGTGAAAGCAGCGACCCAGCTAGTGATGATATCGATGGTGAATACCAAAATCTAGCCTCTCAAGATAACATCAAGAGCGAATATGACGATGACCCATCGTATGAGGCACAGTCTTCTCGAACCAAACGTGCAAGGAAATCAGCCAGCACAGCAACTACTGCTGCAACCTCAGCCAAGGGCACCGGCGCCAAACAGACCTCCACTGCGAAAGGAGGACGCAATGCGAAGAACCGCTCTGCCCCTGCTTCTCGCAAGGGTAAACAGGCCCCAGCTAGCTCTGCCAAACCGGTGCCACCCCCATTACTCCCAGCCACCGCTCAGCAGGGAGGTGTCAACTTCCACAACCAGCTAGCTGCTGATGAGGAAGATCTCTCCACGAAGCCACGCTGCCAGCGATGCCGAAAGAGCAAGAAGGGCTGTGACCGTCAGCGCCCCTGTCAGAGATGCAAGGATGCCGGCATCGGTATCGAGGGATGTATTAGCGAGGACGAGAATAACGGTCGCAAGGGCCGATATGGTCGCCACATGGGCGTTTCTGTCAAGAAGGACCCTTCTGCTATTGCTGCAAAGGCTCAAGAAGCACAGGATACCGCCGCCCAAACTCCTGCTTCATCCACCACGACAGCGGTCCCGGACAAGAACAAGAAGCGCAAGCGCTGATTGTGAAGGCCCTCAGTGGTCCAGGGAGGCCTTTCTACTCTCGCCGTCATACCACTGCCTTGACGTTATCTGTTATAGAGCAACAACCTGCAGCATCGAATATTCCCTTGTGCGAGCACATACTCTTTCATCACCAATGCATGTCTTTCGAGTTTCGGCTATACCTACGACTTGTGTTCATACCAGCAACAAACAGACAAATCAACACCCCGCCCCCGAAGCAGCTGTTAACATCAAATTATCATTATCATAGACTTTGATTCCTGTTTTTCTTGTTTCTCTTTCTTTCATTTTTGTTATACGGTGGCTTGCTTGTTCCTTGTACCTCCTGTCTCAAACTACTACCTGTCGAAACCCAACCTCTTCATCTACGCCCCTGTGTTTATTTGCTGCAAGTATCATCCAGCCATCGTCCTTATCCTTATGCCAATTGCGACTGTCATTAACATCAAAGTCGCTGCGAGTTTTGTGTGTTTCTTTGTACTGCATTTACATCCTTTTACTTGCGCCTTCGCTCTCTACAGTCATGTACCTACTGCGGTGTTGTTGTCTTGTTTAATCTCGAATTTCAAAATTTCCTTGATTTCCTTTATTTCCTCTATGTCTCTTCGTTTTTTTCTCTCTCAGTCTCCTCGAGTCTCTCTGAGTTGACGTAGTTGGGGTTCTGGCTAATGGCTGTATCAGTCGCATCTTGCCTCTGATCTTGCCTGAAGGAAACAGCAAAAAATATTGCTTCTGGTCTTTTGTGTTCTCTGCAGCTATGGCTTGGGCTTCCCTATGGTTGTCCCATCGACCGAAATAGTCCCTTACGTTGTTATTTATTGGAATCAATGGACGGTTTGAAAAATATCAATACTGCTTTCTCCTATTCTAATTCTATATTAAGAGCGTCGAAGTTGATCAACAGCCGGTAACTTTCGTAATAATACGCATATAAACGCAGTGCCAAGACCATATATTTGGTGAGTATTGTAATCAACATACACAAGAAAATTACGCCGAATTATGGCTTCAAAATTTCGTATTTTGTTCGCAAACAAGCTGAAGCTGTGCAAAAGAGCTTTTGATTGACTGATTCACCGGTGTTTCTTGACGAACTAGCTAACAGGTTCAATTGTCTTATACCACCGCATACTCTTACCTATTTTTATCCGTTTTTCTAGATATCCTTTTCAGTCGAGAAACATGCCGCCAAATCCCCCGCCAAATAGACCACCCGCTGGACGAGGACAGCCAAGCAGTTCAGAGAGCTCCTCGGCTACTCCAGGGCCATCGGGGACGGGAGGAACGGCCCGTGGGGGCTCAGCGAGTGCCAGAGGACGACCGGTGCAGCGATTACAATCTCTCAAGAAGCGAACGCCAGGTGGGAGTCTGGTGCCACTGAACGCGGACGGCTCAACACCCAAGCCAACCCTAAAATTCCAGCCGAAGGTGGTGACACGGAAGAGCAAAGAAGAACGAGAAGCGCTAGAGAATCTCGAAGCTCAGAGGCTACGGGAAAGAATATCTGCGGCCAATGCTGCACGGCGGACAACTCGAGGGGGAGACAGAGGCAGAGGCAGAGGGCGTGGCAGGGGCGGCGCGAGTGGTGCATCTGGACCCCTAGGGGAAGGAACAGGGCCTGGAAGACATGGAGGCGCCTGGAAGGGCAAAGGCGGCCGCTCTGGCAAAGTATCCGGCTTTTATGGAGTGAAGAATGAAGCCGGTGCAGACGGAGAACAGATTGGTGGAGATATCTCTTCTGACGAAGGAAGTGATCACGGACTACGGTTTAGCATCGATCATATCAACCTCGAGAGTGATTCGGAAGGGGAAACACTCGAAGCTGGTGCCGTGACGAAGGGCAAATCGTCCATGGGGAAGTCTACGCCTACGGGTGGAAGCCGTGGACTTCGGCCGGTGCGAGTTGAGAGGCATGAACATGTTGAACGCTCCGTTGGTATTCCGGCTGAATCAAGCTCAAGTTTAAGCAAGTCTGCTGAGCTCAGGAAAAAGGCAAAGGAGAAGGCTGGAGCTGCGGATGATAGCCTCTTTGTCGAGGATGACCAGTCAGAGTCCGATGTTGATGGAGGTGACGATGATGTGGTTATGGGAGATATAAAAGAGAGCGGCCCTACGGCGGATGGCCCTCAGATCAAAGCAGAACCCACTGATGACGATGCTACAATTGATGATAGTGTCCCTCCCGCTCCGTCTGAAGAAACTGTCCCCAAACCAAGAGTTAAACCAAAAAGGGTCAAGGATCCAAGGAAGAAGCTACAGACAGAAGAGGAGCGACAGGAGTATGACCGTTACGAAGAGGACATTGATTACTTGAAATCTACACTTGGGAGCATATCTACAACGGCAGGAAATGCCCCTGATACCTCCGCCGCTGCTGAAGTTGGGAAGAAGGATGAGGATGACACTGAGGCCTCTGCAAAGCCAGTAACCGACGAACGCCAGGGCCAGCTATTTCTACTCCAGTTCCCGCCGATGACACCTAACCTGGTGCCGCCAACGCCCGAGAAGAACAGTGCAGTTGGACAAGGTAATGAAGCTGTTGTTGAAACTGCTACACCTCTGCCTGTTGCTGGAACCGCCCCGGCAGCTCAGGGTTCTGCGACTATTAAGCAGGAAGAAGGCGCTGTCAATCCGGCTTCCACGGCGAGCACTGCACCTCCCCTCGTCACAGCAACGAACAGCACTTTGCCGCGTGGACGAGTAGGGAAACTGAACATACACCGATCCGGCAAAGCAACCATCGACTGGGGCGGCGTCAGCTTTGAGCTCACGAAGGGCAGCACCGTCGGTTTCATACAGGATGCTGTGATACTGTCGGACAACATGGCTGGGGCCCCTGACGGCAGCGCTTCGACCCGCGACAAGAAGCTCTGGGCCATGTCTCAGGTCACTGGCAAGTTCGTTGTTACCCCGGACTGGGACAAGATCTTGGATGAATGATTTGATAGCCAGCTATGATTTTGTGGTCTTCTTGAATCCATGTCGGATAACTAGTTAACTACTCCGCAACCAACTATACGCTACCACCGTCGTCCAGCCCCCTGTATCCGGCTAGCAGTGGCCGCCAGCACCATCTCCGCCCATCTATCTCTACCAACATCCTCCTGGCATTACCAACTCTCGCTGTCTCTCGTCGAGCTTTCTTGGTGAGACAAGATTTGCATAGGTTCTAAAGCTAGCTTCCACGTGACCATCTTACGTGTCATCGCCAGCAAAAAAGGAGCGAACTTTTGATCAAACATCAAAAACATCGAACTTTGGATCAAACCGAACGGAAAAGCCACCCCATGGGATAAGCTGGTCGCTGGCCGGACGTCAATTATTCATACTCCCTTGTTCATCTCGCTGACATCTTCCATTCGAGCTCACCCGGACCGACGCAGCGCATACTCACACGCCATCGCCTCGCCACGCAGTCAACGCCAACTATCTATCAACCCACCTCTTGAATATCTATCCAACTCGCATCGGCCTTATATTTGTGTATTTCTTTACAAAATATGCGGTTCTCAAAGGGTTCAGCCCTGCTGGCTATATGCTCTCTTCTATCCACCAGCGTTTTCGCCGCTGACCGCCCCCCATCCGTGTCATCACCAACACCTGCCATAAGACAACGATCTGACGAAGCACGCCCCCCATCAGACCCAATTATCAAAAAACGAGCTATTGTCGACGCACCACCAGATCCAGTGCCAACCGTACCTACGCAGGTGTCTCCAATCACAACATTCTGGCTCGAGGGAGTGCAGATGGTATACACACAGACATTTCCGCCTTTCCCTGACCCATGGCCATCTCCAATGGCAGGAGAGATAGGCCTGGGGACACTGAAGGGAGAGATCGGAAAGACGGTTACGATTAAGGGTCGCAGTGTCCCTACCGATGAGCCTGAGCCAATGTTTGCGCGCCAGTGTCGAACACTCGAGTGCGGTAAAAGCCGCGAGCAGAAAGCGGAGAGAGCTGGGCTAGAGGACACTGCTTGATTCTAGACCGGGACACCTTGTGTGTTATTGCGTGGAGTTATGCGACCTTGGATCTTTTTCACGTTTTACCAGTGCGGTGGATTTTGTGTAATGATTTGATATTTATGCCATCACTGGCAAGCATATATATGGAGTTTTTTTGGGGCAGTCTACTGCCATTTAGACATGTATAATATTTAACTATTCTTCTACCTCTGCTTCTCCCTTGGTACTTTCTTCCAGGATGTTGCTGGTTAGACCTTCAGATAGAATGGAATATCAGCCTCCACACCCAGATCTCCCTCCACATCGACAGATCCTGCATCCTGGCGAATCTGTAGCTATAAATGTATCCCCTTAAGCCCCGTCGACGCCCAACGGGCTACTTAATCCTTCTAGTCAACCAAATAGAACTGTGGTTTAGGTAAATATATCTCCGACAGATGCGCCATCCGTGACTTGGCGGGTCACCAGATCTGCGGCAACATCAGAAAAAAAAGATACATCATCGACTATTCAACAGCTCCTTTTTTTACCCACTACCCACCCTCAGTTTTGATAACTTGTCTCTACACTCTCCTTCGTGCGAAGGGCGAACGGCGCACACTACGGCCTGTGGGATCCTGGCATTTTGCGCATCCTTGCCACTTTTTCCCTATTTATTGAGCCTCGACACGCGAATCCTACTAGCGGCCACTTCGACCGGACTAGCTGCCAGCACCCAGGAGGACACCCTTTTTCTCCTTTGCCTGTTTTTCTACGGGATATTACTAGTGGACTGCACTGAGCATGAGCATATCCAGCCTGCTGCTGGAGAGGTATTCGGTCTCTGGAGCTTGCTGTGGTAGCTCGGTGCCATGTAGCGTCGTCCTTCCTGCCGCATGGATTGACCAATGTTTCGAGCCCTGGGACCTCTGCCATTTGGCATGGCCTCTTTGAGCCCTACGACGGTGTTTGTCGCCCTCGTCCTCATCTATATCTCCTCCTTTGTTCTCTTCGCGATCATCCGCATCGCTACCGGCGTCTCCATACAGCGGATCGGCTACTTTTCACTACGACACATCGCATATTCGCCGCGGGAGGGGGTTTATATCAAGTTCGGAGGTATTGGGATTTCCGTGCATAGGCCCTCGCTCGTCCAGCCTACATACGTTAGCCTGCGGATTAAACGAGCTACCGTTACGCTTGATTTAAAGGCCCTTGCGAGCTCGCGTCGGAGAGCTGCCACCGCTGTCGCTACCGCTGGACATACACCAGAGGGCCTGGCAAAGGATGAAACTAGAGCTGCGCAAGAGAGTGATGCCGTGGGCAACAGTAACGGCAATGGCAGCAGTGATGGAAAGACTAAGAAGAAGTCAGCGTCCTGGGAGAGGACATGGAAGATACTGAAGGGAGTTAAGGAGAGACTGAAGCGCTTGCTCAGGCAGATCAAATGGTTGGCTTTGATTGATATCTCGGCTACGGAGACTACACTTCGCATACGCGATGCTGGAGAGCTTCATATCGGTGCCCTCACCATGTCCCTGGATGCTAGGCGTAAAGTTATGCAAGGCGGAAAGCAATTTCGACAGAACGAGGATGCTTCGGGAGAGAAACGTTTTCCGGAGTGGATATTCAATGCTCGAAATATACTCCTGGCAGTAGATGGCTGTGAACACAAGGAGATATTTGATAATATTGGAATCAATGTTCATGGACTTCTTCAAAATGGCATGGAAGGGTTACGGGAAGTCTCCATTTCGGTCAAAGTGGGGAGGCTTCATATCCCGTATGATGATGTTCGTTCTATCCTTCTACGGATCAAGCTGCTCTCATTGCCGGATGATATGACCCCAGACGCTGGAACCTCTTGCGAAGACACTGATGACGAAACTGCGCTGGGAAATATAATGGAAGAATCGGACACTGAACAGCAGGATACCCCTCAAGAGGAGGTCGTGGCCCATCACCTTACCGAATCGAAGGCGTTCCTTACCTCCTTGATACGCGGAATCCAGGACTTCCAACTCGCTTTGAGTTTCTTCCGTGTCTCAAGCACCGTGGAAAATCCAGAGTCTATGGAAAAGCCTCTCTATTTAAATTTCTACACTCATGAGGTGGGCGTTGACTTTCATAGAATGGACCCAGCCCACCCATCACACAGGATGTACTTTCAGCGTGATGACGTTGCCCATCAGGCTTTGATAGCCGCCATCTCATCGTCAGTATCTCTGGGTGAGAATGTAGACGAGCATGAAAAGCTGATATACATTCCCATGGCTACAACAACCATCAAAACAACCCTCCCTTCTAAAACCATGGCATTGGCTGGCAACCACCGAGATGCCGCTGAGCGGAATTCAAATGTCATTTTTGCCAATTTCGTTGTTACATCTCCGTCCGTGGACCTGGAACCTAAACACCTATCAAACATCCTAGCCCTGATACAGGCGAGAGGATCCTCTCCACGTTCTAGTTCTCAAAAAGGTCACTTCCTTATGTCACGTCTTTTGCCGAAGGCTGTGATCAAACTCTCAGTCCACGAACCCGTGCTTCGATTTGCGCTCCCCACCTCAGCCTCAGCAAGTCCTTCCGACTACAACCTTCTTGTTTCATCTATATCCTCTATTTCCCTTGACGTTGAGTCTTCTCATTCTGTTGCAGAAGGTGCCCAATATTCCCTGGTCGCCACATACCGTATTTCTTCTCATCTGATTTACTACCAGACAGCCGCAGGGGTTAGGCATCGTCTCCTAGCCACGGACACAATGGACCTAAAGTGCTATATAAATGCAACCACCGAGATTGCGGTTGCTATTTCAGGCTCTATGAACTCATTTTCAATCCATATCCTTAGCGGGGAACTTACTCGTGGCCTGCACCAAGCTGTTGAGCAGCTGAAGAGGCTTATTCCTTCAAAACACAATTCCTCTCATGATACGCCTAGCCTTCTAAGGCGCCTTCCCCCTTGGCTTATTCGTTTCCAATTCGAATCCTCAGCTTTTAGCATTGAAATTGCCGGTTCGGATCCTACTGTTGGTTCTGCTACCAGAGGAATTGTCCTTCATCTGGGTGAATGGTCGATAGAGTATCAGCTTCAAAAACCAAAGCCAAACCCACGGTCCCTGCGGCGCCGAACTCCTAGCCACTCTGCTATCTCGGATGACCCATTCAGGTTTACGCCTACTTCACCCTCTGGGAAGTCTTATTCCCGTCCGTCAGACGGCAGAAGGGTAACGTTTAATGTCAGTCAAATGGAGAGTTTTATCATGGAGTCTGTAGACTATATGGAACCAGACGCTTTCCTCTCGGTGCCTCAATTCGAGATTTCCCTGACCACTTCGAGCGACCTTCAAGGCCCTATCTTTCATGTTAATTCTATCATCAACGAGATTATCATCAAACATTCACTCTATCGATGTTACGCAATAGGTATTGCTGCGACTACTATTAATGATGCATTTTTCAATTCCACGCTTGGGGTGAACACGCGCGGACCAAAACGCAGATCGTCCTCGATGAGAGCACCTGGAAAAGCTTCGAAAGTCGAACTCACCACTTTTGATATCAAAGTCCCTTCTATACAGGTCCAGGGTGTGATGCCGTCTGATCCAAGGATACTGCTTCAGGTGTATGGGCTTGTTGCAGGTCGACACCGTTGGTCACCACCTTTTATCCGGTCGCACCTGATTCGACTGCATGTGGAATCTCCAAAGGCCAAAGGGACTTGGACCAGAATTTTCAGCGTTGGAGGTATTCGTGTTGGGCTTCGAGAGAGCAGAACAAAGCAGGCAGAGACTTTGGGTACCACAAAGTCATACGACATCTCCTCTGATTTTATTCGAGTGGCTGTTCCTCCGCATATGATAATGTACCGTGTGTTTGATAACTTTGTCAACACGTTCAAAGCACTGGAACTGCTCAACTACCGCATGAAGACTAAATCAAGCTCTTCAAGCATGGCAAAGCCCCCTAGTGAACCAAAATGCGTACCCAAAATATCACTGCGTAGCAAGTCGATGGTTTTTGAGATAGAAGACGATCCATTCGAATGGAAACTCGGATGTATCTATCGTCTCGGCCTTCAGGAGCAGAAGCAACGTCTTGCACGCGAGGAAGCGTATAATATGAAGCTGAAAAAAGTAAGAGAAAGTCAAGATGATCGTTATGCTACTCTCCGTCTCAGGAGCCAGAATCCCAGGTCATTCACAGAAAGGCCTTATACAAGCTCTCGTAGGAGTGGTGAATACCCAAGGAGCGTCAGCGCAGATAGTCGACCGAGGAAGCGGTCTAGATCAAGGGGGAGAAATGCCTATACAAAAGGCCGGTATGATACTAGCCAGTTACCCACTTTCTCTGACTGTAGCATTCTATCCGCGGATGAGGCTTGGAACCAACTTCAGGCTCACAATGCGCGCTCTTGGAAGAAAAAAATCGACAATTCAATTCGGTTTCAGAATGCAGCAGTTAGAGAACTCCGATCCCTTTTTGTTGGAGCTGACAAGACTCCTGATGGGATGCCAGAGGTTCCGGGGGTGATTCCAATCCCAAGCCGACCAGGTTTACTTGCCATCAGGATAACGGATTTTGGATTCACTCTGGATGCGCCGTCGTTTCCACTCCATGAATATCCCCAATATCTGCATAGGATTGGGAAAGGCATGCCTTTGGATATTAAGTATGCTTTATTGATACCGATGAGCATCCGACTAGATATGGGAGAAGCTAGATTCAACCTAAGAGACTACCCGCTTGATTTAATCCATATCCCTCCGTTAGGCCCTGGACAGTCCGCCCGTGTTCCAGCCTGGTCCCTCAAGACAGACTTTGTCATAGCTGAAGAATTTCGTGGACCTGAATCTTCTCGCCAGGTCATCGTTAATATTGTTCCCCCATCCCTTGCTTCTGATGGCACAATGCAGGATGGCTTTTCCCTTGACGTTCGCAGGACGGTTGCTCCTGTGAAGACCTATTCTAACCCAACAATTGAAATTAACACCAATCAGCCTACCACGATATCTTGGGGAATGTCCTACCAACCGGTCATCCAGGATGTTATGAAGATTATTGAGAATTTTACGAAGCCCGAGATAGATCCCTCAGAGCGAGTTGGGTTCTGGGACAAGATACGACTAAGCTTCCATTCAAGGTTACTATGGGTTTGGAAAGGAGATGGCGATGTCCATTTCAGACTAAAAGGTAAGCCCTAGTTTTGTTAATTGATGCTTCAGGTTGTGACGAACGCTAACAGTTTATATCTATAGGCTCCCGTGATCCATACATTGTTACCGGCTTTGGTGCGGGTTTTGTCATGTGCTGGCGTAAAGATGTTCAATGGGGAATCCGTACGAATGATGACCCTCAAGAATTCTTTGCAGTTACCAGTGGTGAATATGTGCTTGCTATTCCTGATTATAATCGTCAAGCGAGGTATTCATATGAATCACCAGCGTTTAACAGTGGCACCGCTAGATTTGGGAAGAGTGACGCATTGTTCAAGAAGGTGATAATGAAGCTTTCCGGAAATGTCCGCTGGCTTGCAGGATTGGTATTTGAACGAAATGCGAATGGTGCAGAGAGATGCTTTGATTTCAAACCCCATTACGAGGTTGTCCTACGCAACCCCATGTATTTGAGCCCCCAAGAGTTAAAGGTGAGCCGTCACTCAATCTTATATAGTGATCCTAGGATGAAACTGACCGTGTAATAGGACTATGATGCGTTCCGTGGGTTTAGAAGCAATCACATACATCTTTCGTTAGCTGTTGTTGCACCTGTTGCTCGAGAGTGGACTCTTACGAACCGAGAGCCATCGGCTTCATACAACACCGTCCATCTTACGCCCAAATTCTTTACTCATTTCTTTAGCTGGTGGTCTCTCTTTTCTGGGGTGATGTCACTTCCAGTCCGTCAAGGACCTCTTTTCCCTGGATTAACAAAGACAAGTAAAAAGTTTAGCCGTCATCTCGGCACTATCAAGTATAAGCTTTTCTTGTCTCCGCTCTTTGTATCCCACATTTACAAGCATAAGGATCCAGAGGACTACAAGGAAGATATTGTTTATGCAACAGGGCTGAAAGTGCGGCTGGATAGCTTCATGCTTGACCTGCACCAGCGGCGAGAGTATACTACCGTGGTCAAAGGACGGCTTGAGCCGACAAAAGCAAGCTCTATGAAAATCAACAGAGCACAATTGGATTTCATTTCGGCCGATTGTCGCGCAGTATCATCAATTGGCAACTCTGCTCAAGACAGTGGCGACGAGAAGGATGGTACTAGCCCGACTTACCCTGGTATATCTCAACCTGCCGATATATCAAACTTTACCATTCCAGACGAGGATTTGAACTGGATTGACATGGATGATTTTGTCGAGTTGGATTGGGTTCTTCCAGTAGAAAGCAATCCGAGAACGCAAATTCTTCCACTGGCCTATTCCCCTCGGTTTTCGTTCTTCCGCCAAACGGATCATACTAAAGTAGGGCCGGATGAGCCAGGTTATAGTCCCTTCGGAGACGAGCCTACGCATGTATGTGTTATGTCACAGGACCACGATCCCCGGCGGGTACAAATCGAGTTGCTTAAGGAACGTCTTAATGTCTTGGAAGCTCAATCTTCATCGCATCACCGTGTTGTTGGCGAATTTGAGCTACGTTCTATCCGCGACGGCATAGCCGATGAAGAGTCTCGAAGGCAATATGAAACGATGGTCAGGCACGGACTATCCCTCGAGCAGCGACGAAAATTCCTTCAGGATGAACTGCAACGGCTTGAAATGCATTTTGTCCAAAATGGCAACACTAATGGGTCTTCGCATCGCTGCAGCGAAAACGCTGATCTCCTAATATCCTCAACGGAGGATGAGTTCGCGAGTGACTTTGATAACCGCTTCGTCATTCATAACATCCAATTGAAGTGGAACAATTCCTTGAGAAACATAATTCTACGATATATACATCAAGTCAACCAGAGACGTGGATTTGTGTACTACATGTCACGGCGCGCAGTGAAGTTCATCCTTGATATCGTTGACGAGCAAGTCAAGGCAAAACGCCGGCATATGGGCAAAAAGCAACAAACACCATGGAATGCTGAACCTCGCTCTCATATTGAGATTGAAAGAGACGACGACATGTCGACCGAAGAGCGAATTGAACAGCTCCTTAATGATGCAAGTCGATTTGTGAATGCAGAACCGCCTACTCCCGGAGAGAGCAAGCATCCTACTATAAGCTCAAAATCGAGTAGCAATATCTCCCCCGAATTTACACCGCAGAACAGCTATCATCTGAGACTCATTGCTCCCCAAATTCAGTTGCAAAGCGAGAAAAATAAGAAATCTGTCGCTGTTGTTACCGCTAAAGGGATGCAACTAAAGGTCGTATCAATTATGGATAAACACCGAGTCTCTGATGATGTTAGTGGACTGGTACAACGCCAGTTTACACTTAGCATGGACAGCGCTCAGTTTTTCGTCGCAGACCAAAAGAGCTTTTCTAGCCATATACATATATACTGTGGAAATGGATACGGAAACGCTCCAGGCACGTCATGGCCGCCTTGGGTCTCAGTGGAAGCCATGTTTGACTTTGATATCGACCTTTCTGGGTTCTCAAGGATTATCCAGAAAACATCTGCGAGCTTACGCTACGACAAGTTCAATACCTTGCGACTGAAATTCAATGAGAAGGTCGCTGGTGAGTCAGCAGATGAAGATAGGCACGCCGCCTACCCTACAGAACATCGAATCGACCAAATAACTGTTGACTTCCCACAAGTGCGGGCGATCTGTGATTCATCACAGTACTACTCCTTATATATTATCGCCCTTGACTTACTCATGTACAGTGAGCCCCGAGAGCAAGTTCGGGCTGAGAAACTGGAAAAGATTATGCTGGCATCTGACTTCAGTGATCTTCGAGGTGCGCCAGAAATTGTCAATCGTCTCCAGCAGCGAATCCGTTATCTTGAGGAGATCAAAAGCCTGTTTCAAATCCGCGGAAAATATCTTGACAAACAAGGGTTAGCGGACCGAGTGTCACTAGAGAAAGACCTGATAATGTGTGAAGATGAGCTATTCTTTATGATGAAAGCCATCACAACATCTCAAAGAAAGAGTGATGACCGCGCAAAATCGGCGTCCAGTGGACTACTACACTGGACTCTTGCTGCAACGGAAATCGTTTGGCACCTCATGACGAATAGTAAAGAGCCGATAGCGGAATTTCAACTAAGAGACGCCGCATACGGTAGGACGGATAATAGTGATGGATCAAATTATAACACGATAGAAGTTGGGAACATATATGGGCTTAACTTACTACCAGAGGCGCTCTATCCTCAAGTTATCCTTCCATACAAAGACGACCATCGAGGGACTCACCCAAAAGACGAGGCTAAAATGCTTCAAGTCAAATGGTATATGCTAGAGGCTATTGCTGGCATACCTGTACTCAATGATTTTGAAGTTACTCTCTTCCCTCTCAAGATACAACTGGAAAGAGAGTTAGGCCAGAAGCTGTTCGAATATGCTTTTCCAGCTGCCGGGCCAAACGCCTTTGAGAATGGTGGTTTTTCACCATTTATGATCAAGCAGATAGATCCGCCCAGCGATGACTCAGAAGTTGACAACACAACCAGTGGTGCTAATACTCCAGCAATGAGTACGGCCAGTACATCTGCGGATGAGAGGCCACCTTCTCGCCTAGGCACTGTTGAGCAACGATTAATGCCCACTCTAGCCTTGCCTGATAAACGCCGTTCTCATTCCCCCGGAAGGATTAAAATGTCCATGTTGATGACTCCAATAATCAAAGATTCGGCTCCCCAGAAGCGTAAGGCTGAAGATGATAGAAGTCTGTCTACATCACAAGTGCCTACGCGTCGTACTTTGGCGAAGAAAGCATCTGCTGATAGCCTTACTGTGCTGAGACGACAAGCTTCAGATTGGTCTCTCGGAAGTCAAGCTGGAAATAAAGCTGAAGAGAAACCAAAGAGGCCTACCCTCAAGCGACCACCAACCAAAGTGCATATCGATAAAGCACATGGAGCAGATGATCTCTCTCGGATGATATCTCGCGCATCAAATTTCATGATCCTCACTCATGTGAAGATCAACGATGTTGTACTCTGTTTAAGCTACAAAGGCAAAGGAGAGCGAAATATTGAAGATATCCATGACTTTGTTTTCAGGCTGCCTGTTCTTGAGTATCGAAATAAGTCGTGGTCTAACTTGGACCTTGCTCTACGGTTAAAAAAGGATGCGATCAAGGCTTTGATTTCGCATGCACCCGCAATACTTGGCAATAAATTCTCCCATCATCGGCCAAACAAGCAGCAACAAAAGCGTCTTCGCGAGCTAGCTAGTTCCTCTCAACTGTTAGACGGCCAGTCAATCCTGAGCACCCCTCACTCGGATGGTTCAAATAGTGTGGCCAGCCGTACTTCAACTGAACGGTCCGCGTCTCCTGATTTATCTATGAACTCGCATGCTTTCCAGGCCAGTGGTGCACCGTCCACAGACTCTATGGGCATTCCTCCAAGAAGCAAAACAGCACATTCTGATATTGGTCCTATGGGGTCTTCTGCAATAGAGGATGAAGATGTTAGTCAACAGCCCAGCTAATTATCATGCATAAAACTAACTGATTAGCAGGAGTCAATTGATAAATCTGGTCACTCTCGGCGCCGTTTTACAACTAGTCGAGCATCTCTCGGTAGTGAGAATGCCACTGATGATGTTTCTGAAAGGTGAGAAATACTTTTATCTTATGGCTTTTTCAAAAAGAGTTTGGATATCTGATTTCACGACTAATATAGGCATCGACGAAAACCCCTTTCTTTCCTTGGGCGCAAGTTTCTTGGATCACTGGACTGAGTATACCATGATTCTATCCTGCAAATACAGGCTGCATACCCGTATATTACTTACTGGACTCCCCCGGTGTACGTTTTACCGGACTAGGTGTCATTTTATATATCATTCCTCTCGTTTCAAATTTCCTTACAACGACATCCTCTTCCGGCCGTACCACTTTTAAACATAAATTATAGCCCAGGGCTACTTCCACCACTTCCATGCATATTATTGTTTCGTTTTGTTATATATCCATGTGTTCCCAACTGCATTCAATGTTCTTTCCTACTAGCGGTGGAATGTGATGCATTATATTTCCTGTTCTCTAATTAGTCTTGGGGCGATGGTATACCCTTCAACCTTGGATTGGCGCTGGAGTTGCCTTTGCTGTTCTTTCGCTTTAATGTTGTTTCTCCTTGTCAAAACATCATTCTTTTGTTCGGGTGGTTTCCCTGTTACGTGCAATTTTGTCTTCATTAGGGAATCGGACGATAGATGGATGGACATTTGGATACTGTGGTTTGCATTCGGGTTTTCATGGTTAGAATACTGGGTACACATACTTTTTGGTTCTCATCAACTGTTGTTATTATATGCGTGGGGCTTCTTTTATTTCCGCTGGTTTTATTGAGACAATGCGTGCATAGTAGAAGCAATACAAGCAGTTGAGTGCCATACAAGAAGCGGAGGCTCGAAATAGTGTTCCATTCCGTAAATGATATCATGCTTGTAAAATGAGGTGCTATAGGAAAATCTCAACGCTATTTTAATAATACATGTCGGAGAACATGAAGGTATGCGTTAGGTGCGAGCAATCAGGGCTCATACTCTAGCTCTTATAAATCCACCAAACTTAGCCAATAATTATACAGTCTCGGAATCATAACCCGATGCGACATTGTTATCGTCAATTCTATCGGGCTTTACCGGCTTCTGGAATGGTAATGAGGACATCAACCTGCCAGAAACGGATATAAACCTAGTCTGGGGTGTAGGACAAGTGATGTCATCAGTATAAGGAATCCCATGAAGGGAGTATTTCCCCCAGGCAGCCTTCTCCTTGCGAAGATCAGCCTGGACCCAGGGAATAGTTATAAGGACCCAAGTGCCGGCCCACACGAAGGGTAAAGACCATCCAAGCTAATGGGATAATTAGCAATGAAAAAAAAAAAAAAAACAAGAAGCTACTAGATATCAAAAACATACCGTATATGCCACGTCTCTAGGTGTTGTAAATACCAGAGCAGTGATGACCGCTGCAAAGACCACTGACCCGCCACCCCAAAAGCAATTCATTTCAAAGAGCATCTGTCTGAAGTAAGGGCTGGAGAGATATCTATCACGAATTGCCCTTCTGTATACCTGTCCACCTCCACCATCCACCGCAACAACGTCTTCAATTAATACGTACAAGGCTGTGGGCATTACGTATCCCTTAGGCGTTGACGATATGCGGAAGGGGGCCTGGTAACCTAAGGCACGGAGGAGATCGAGGGTTAGATGAACGAGTCCAAAATAAAACATAACGGTGGGCAATGGCATCGCCAGGAGACGAACTAGTGGAGCAAAAGTCAGAATCAGTAGGCCATAAAATATTTAGGGATGTACATACTATACGGTTCTTCTTGAACAGTTCCTCTATAGGTACCTGGGATTAACAATAATACTCCAAATGAGGTCCTCAAGAATGCACATACATGATGAGTTCCACTGCCAGGATGAGCCATACTATCGTGAAGTTCACTTGAAAGAAATCGAGCTATCCAGCTTGTTAGCAAAGTACAAAACATTGCCAAAGCTTGTGGGCATACCCATGACCTCCTTGCATTCAACGGCCTCACTTTCGATCCCTTTTTAAATAGGTTATAAAACCGATAAAAATATTCAACGACGGCAACTCCTCCGAGAGCAGCGGTGCTTATTGTGAATACTGGAATAATAGAATATATATCAGCGCCTGATTTAATCGCTCAATAAAAAAGGACAAATATACTTACCCAAGTTGTGTGATAAATTAGTACAGTACCACAAGGTAAAGTAAAGAACCAAGGGCTGGACCAGAGTATCAATTATAAAGAGCGTCCAAAATATAGAAATCGATCGTTTTCGAGACCTGAGTGAGTAGGGGAGTTCTGGTGGTCCAGGAACCACGGGAGCGTCTGGAACCATGGGTTTGTCCATCCTCTATTGAAGTTATATAGCCTGCGCGTTCGTCGAAGATTGGACGTGCATTCGGAAGCAGAAGCAATGACGGAAGAGCTCAAGTTTCTAAACTAGAAGTACCTGTGCACAGCTCTGATATTGTCGGACGTAAATAAGAGATATCCATGCTTCCGCTGGAGAGGGATTGATGAGTGGCGAACATCTTATATCTTATATAGCGAACCAGCCTGGCTGAGCAAGAGACTTCGGCAAAGACGGGTTCTTTCTTGACGTTCTGGAAGGTAAAAATAAAGTGTCCAGCGTGTCGAGTGACGTCATAGGGCTGATAAAGTTTTTGGAGGCTCAGCTTAGTAATGGCTTGACATAATCATGATGATATAAGCATGAAGTTGGATATATCATGTGATACGTGGCACGAAGTTCGAAACCCGCGCTTGCCACGAAAAAAAAGGACGTAAATTATTTTAATCTTCATAACTACGGGCTATCCAAGACTCTTAAGAGCCGCAACAAGAGGTACGCAGCCATGCAAAGACGTAAAGGGGGCGATGGCTGCGAGTTTAAAAGACCTGATCGAATACTTGCTGGAGGAAATATCTTTACGCGGTGACCAAGGTGAGACGCGGTGCTCGGCAGGCTACATCTTGACTAGTTTTCCATTGGCTATATGATCAAACATACAGGAGGGAGCTAACCAAGTTGATAGGAGTGCCTCCAGCACAAGTACTTACGTTTATTGATGAATTCTATGCGCTGCGGCGCGAGAATAATGCTCGAAATGGTGTGGCAACACGTCGTATACCCAATCTTGACAGACGGTTCAAGTCCAGGGTATGGAAGTGGCTTACGGAGCACCCTGAAGTATCAGTTGGCAAAGATAGAGAGGGTAACTCCCTTACACTGGACGATGTGGTACCGCATTCACAAGGTGATAGCACCACAGAGGCGGCTATTGATCCAGCACTAGGGTCGGCTCCTGGTCGCCGGGGACAAGATATGCTTGTTTTTGTGTCGCTGGAGCGAACTTGGCTCTCCATCACTGGCCATGAACCGGATTCCACCAGGGTCTTACCGTTGGAATTTGCTCTGCTATCAATTATCGCATCTCGAAAAGAAAAGGGCATCATTCAGTCCGACCTTGTCCGGCTGAGTGGACAAGACAAGCGTTCAGTTCCTAAAAGGACTGACTTATTGCAGGAGAAAGGATATATTGAAAAACGAGCCATACAATACCAAGCTGCGAGGACAAGTCTGTGTACTCTGAATAAATTCGCCGGACTTGGACCAGGGCAGCTTTCTTATGATCCTTCATCAGTCGTGGAACCTGGCTCAAAATCAACAACGAGCAAGATAATAGACTTCACAGTTCTACAAGAGAAGCTTTTTGAGATGCTGAGGGAGTATAAGGTCATTACCAGGAATGACCTTAAAGAAAAACTCGGAATGCAAGATCGTTGGCACGGGAAAATATTAAGAAGAGCCATTCGGAAATTTGAGGCCATTGGCTGTATTCGACGAGTCCGTGCAGTATCTCAGTATTCGAATGCAATGAAGTCACTGCATCCTTCAGTAATGCTGATACGTGAGCCAACAGAGAAGGATATCAAATTGTTCCACGAAGACAGTAAGGGGCTGATGTCATCTCTGGAGCAGTTGGACGCAGACTTGGACGAGGAGCAAGGCCAAGAAATCGTAGTTGATCCTAGCCTAGAAGGCGATTCTACTAATTATGTTGTTGATATCGGTCGGATTGTCCCCCAATGGACACCGGATAGAACGATAACTAATTTGATTTTTGATACTATCCATCAGGCTGGCACTAGAGGGATCTCTAACAATGTTAGTTTATCTAATCCCTTAAAATGACCCTTGAAACTAATATATTCATTATTTAGGACATCAATAAATTAACAATGGGATCCTTTTTCAGAAAGCCACTGGAGACCGTTCTCTCTCGATTGACCAGCTCATGGCAGAGCTCACAGCCTCTCCATCTTCGACACCTAGCCATTCTTCGCGACACTGCGCTCAACAAAACTGTATATTATTATATACATTATTCGTTCGACCATTTCTCCTCCCTAGTGAGCAATGGTCATGCTTCTTGGGATGCAGTAACTGGAGGTCCCAGGTCCGGAAAACGAGTGTTAAACGCCCCCCCAGCCAACGCAAAGGCTACCTTGGACAAATATGGCTTCCAAGTAGATATCTCGCAACCTCTCTTACGTAAGGGGAATGCAACGCTTCGTGAATGTTTGGAGGCTTCTAAGCCTTCGAAATGGAACCTTACATTCAATGATCCTATTGCAGTTTCTCTCCTGGATGGCACATATAGTAGGTTATCATTCAAATTTGGCAATTTATTACGTAGCTAACTGGAAACTTCAGCCGTTGACTTCTTCAGAAAAGGCGGCCTCTCGAGATCGGCGCTCGAGCGCGCTCGAGACGCTGGAGTACTTGAATCAGACGATCATGAACTGTTTGGATCCAATGTCCCTAACGGTGCTCAGTCTGATGATATCGCCCAATTGACTCCTGGGCCTCAGGAAGGCATGGAAGACGTTGCCCCCCGTGCGGCTAAACGGCAGAAAGTTGTCACAGATCCATATGAGGGATTGACTGGAAAGGAACTCCTTGAAGCGCAAGGCCTAGATGAAGGATGGACGGAGTACAGTCTTCTACTTATGGACCGCCCATCAACTGGTGTATATATAACACCGTTTGGAAAACGTCGGCCTGTTGGTAAAAAAAGAGGGCGTCCAGGTAAAAGCCGTATCGCCGTTTTTAAGTCACCGAGATTAAAGGAATTTGACTGGTTTGTACCCCAAGCATCACCTGAGCCACGAGATGAAGAAATAACTTCGATCATTGAAACAAACTTACAAGCGGGGTCTGGGAACCTGTCCATGGAAACCCGCCCTTGCCGCCCAGTCAGGGCTGCTGCTCAACGGCAGACTTATTCTGGAGTCGATAAAGAGGGCCTAGAGGATACCAAACAGCAGCCTGCCAATAACGATGAATTGGATATTGAATGGAACCTGAAGAGCCGCCAGGCATCAGGGAAAAGAAGAGCTCCAGACGCTGACGGGCCAGTGTCTATTGAAACAGGGGAAACTCCTCGACGCCGGAGGGGAAGACCGCCGAAAAAACGGAAACTTGATACTGAAGTGGAAGCTTCAACAGTGCCTTCTCCCGAGGGAAGCCTGTTGGTCGATGACAATAGGTCAAGATTGAGGCAAACGACAGAACTACCAAATCCCGTCCCCGACGGTGACATTGAGATTATCGAAGCCCCAGTGCGTGAAACACAAGAGCAGGAGTTGATTGTCCTCTCCCCTAGGGATGCACAGCAAGCCACGGCTTCTTGCGTACCAACAGTTGAACATACAAAAGAAACAATCCCTGAAGAAGGTTTAAGAGAAGCTAAGTTGAAGAAAGAGACTATCTGTGACCTATATGGAGAGCCTGTCTCTGAGGCCGTGCAGACTGTGAACACATCTGCCGGCAATTCAGGAATAACCACCGAAATCACTCTTCCTGATGCCCAGAATACATCGGATGCCTCTGTTACTAGGGTCGATGAGATCAAAGGAACTCTTAAGCGAGATATCAGGTCCGGTTCAATCGGCGTACTCAGAAGAAAGATTCTTCTAGATATTCTCGAAAAAGGAGGTGGCGTATATCCTATGGGAAGTGAAATGTGGTATCCATTTACGACTCAGTGGTTGAAAACAAATCAAAGCACAAAACCTGATGCACGAACAGTAAAAAATGCAATGAGAACACTCATTGAAACTGGAAAAGCTAGGAAGCACACATTTAGCGGGAGGAACTCTAAAGGCCTCATGGTGACGAAAAGCATTTTGTCCTTTCCGGAAATTTCAGGAAACCATCCAAAATTAAGAGCCATGCAAAAGGAAATGCTTGATGCAGACCCCCAGCTCTATCTTCCCTTAGAGGTTGAAATTGATCCAGACCTGAGAAAGTCAAACCGTGGATTCTTGGGATACGGCGTGAAGCTTCCTGATATTGATGGGGAAGTTAACGTGACACTTCACCAGCCTCCAGCCATGACACGCAGGCCACCTAAGGCAGGAAGACGATGGAAAATGCACAACTTCGAAGGTGAACTCTTTGAGTTTGATATCAGAGAGCTATCTTTTCCTTTCGACTCCCCTCCAACTCAAAGATTGGAGAGCATACAGAGGTTGGCGCAAGGGCGTTCTTATCTAGCTTCCTTTGGTTTACCGTCTCCTAGCGGGAGCTCATCTCAACATACGAGGTACCCCGTACCTGCACTACCGATATCCTCAAAAACTAGATACATGGTAACTCCCGAGTCAATGCTCATGTGTCCACTGCAAGTATATCACTCGGCCACGGGGACGTTTGGGACAGGTGCCTATATCCCTGGTAAATATAGGGTGTACCCTAAACATCATCGTGAACATAATATGATACGACCGGAAAACTTAGAAACAATCTTGTCACAAAGAGGCAATCGCAAGTTTGATAGCTCAAAGTTTTCCGACCCAGTGTCCCACCAGTTCTTTTATGATGTGGACAGGATCAAATACTGGGAGCACCGGTACCCGGAAATCTTTGAGATGCCCAACGATGATTTTGTCTATATAAATCATACTATCGAGGAACTCCCCGAATGTCCGCCTCTAGAAGGTGCGATAAAATTTGAAAGCGATGCTGCGGCCATTGCGGAGATAGAGCACACGCGAAGACTGACAAGGCAGCTAGCTAGGAGAACCCAGGCTCCTGAAGCTGTTCTTGCGCGTCACTTTGGCTCTGACCGAAGGCAAAGATGGAGGAAAGGGGAGACGCACACCGAAACTACACGCAAACTTACCCAATTGCAGGAGGCCAAAGCGGCTGGTGAAGCGGATAAAATTAAGAATCACAAGACAAGACGTGTTAACTCTTTACCAGCCAAGGTAACTCAACGGCTTATGGTAGCTATGGTTGTCGTACGCACCCTCGCCGGGGGGTTAGAAGGAAGAATGGTGGAGTGGGCCTTGATTACCCCCTTATTCCCGGACTATACACCCAAGTTCATTCATGACCGTGGGAGGCTGTTAATAGGGAGACATAGACTGCAGCTGTCGAAAATGCAAAGTGATTTTCAGGAGAAGTTTGCAGATGCCTACGAAAAGGGGGAAGTTCCACCAATCAGTTTCGACAACCTAGAAGCTTATGACTGGGAATGGGTTGTCGATTGGGCGTGCAGGAACATGGAAGAGCCTAGTATGGGTAGGCTTCCTAACCTCCCAGCGTCTCGACGACAGTTTGACAGCCTATTTGAGCTTCGAACAGAGCCAAGCCAGCAGATTGATGAAATCTACCACTACACGCCCCCTACAACTATACCCAGGAAACGGACTCTCTTGGGAAATCTGCTACTCTCTAATAATATTTTAGATGGTCGGTCACGTAAACCGAGGGCAACGGAACTTGAGCTACTGGATGTGGCAAAGACATGGGTGCGTGCAAATGTCGTAACGCCTGAAGAGACCTACAAACCAGCAGAAGCTGGTCAAATAATGAGGCAATTTGGCGAGGATCTCCTGGGAAGGGCTATCCAATCCCTCATGACCGAGCGCGTCATCTCCATGGGTAACAAGGGTCGGGTAGCTCCCGGACGCAATTTCGATCTTACGGAGCAGTTCCTTGGTACCCTCACACGCAGACGCCCGGTTGAATTAACACAACTGAAGCAGGCCTCTTCTTTCAAAATAGAGGTTCTTGACCCTGCTCTGCTTTCTGAAGGGTGTTATTACGTGAAGTATGACGCTACGGATGGTGATATAATTGCCCTCCTCAACCTAGCTTCAAAAGGCCACATTGTCCTAGTACCAAGGGACCCTCCTCGGAACAAATATGGGTTAACTGAGGGAGGCTACCTGACAAGGCTGATGGACAAAGAAAAGCTGCGTTTTAACGTTGAGGTTCACCCAGCCCACGGCCGGTATCTGTACGGAAACCCCATCAGCCAGGCATTAAAAGAGACTCCAATACCAAAAGGCGATCTGGGCAACTTTCCGGTTAGCTCGGAATCATTGACACTGATGCCTAAAGTTCCGCTGTGGTTTGATGTGCACTCTCAATTTGTGAAGATAGTATGGGAGCTCGTTTTGAGCGCGGTTCTTGGTGTACTTGTTGCTCGACCGGCCATTTCAGCTAAAGGCATAACACGTATGCTGGAGCCTTGTCTAGCGGAGTGGGAGACACTTCTAGTTTTAGGCTGGCTTGCTGATGTTGGTATTATTGAGAGGACACAAAGCTTAACCGAGAATCATTCCGAAGATACAGGATGGGTTGTAGGCGAGTGGTGGTGGATGGTACTTGGGGCATCTGAGAACGGCCAAGTGTAAATGTTGCTATGTATATTAGATGTATTTATCTTGATAATTGAGTATATCTTAATCATTTTCACGCCGGAGACATCTTGATTTATTTTAATTTGCTTTACGTGATTGTTTTAGGATGTTGAAATTAATGTCTTTATTTCAAGGCAGAATATTATATATAGCAAAACTCCGAACACCGTCATAATGATTCCCAACCTCCTAGTAACACCAACATCCGGAAAGATCACGAGATAATAAATTCTTAAATGACAACTCCAGTTTGTAGTACAGACCCGCTGGCCCCCGCTAGTGGCCGCCGTTCCGGGCATAAAAAAGAACGCTGAAACCTTCGATGTAATCAAATGTCCGCAGGAGCAAACAAAACCTTCCGAAGAATAACAAAAGCTAAGGCACATATAACCCCTATAATGGCTCTGTCTAACCAGGGGCCGTCATCTTGGTCAGGGGTATTCCTGGTCGATATTTGAGTGCGATTATGCTGAGGTGCCAATGATACCTGGGGTCGAATATCTGCGGTGGGCCGACTTGGGTTCCCCGGAGCCTCTGCTGGGGGTGGGTTTCCCGTCGCTGAAGTCACCATTGGCGTAGAGTTGTTGAGGCCGGATGTTATGGGTTGATGCACTTCTCCGTTGCTATCGCCTGGTCGGGAAGTTGCTAGAGTAGGCTCAGAACCAGGCTTTGATTCCTTCTCTAACTCATCGCGATAGTCCAGTTTGAGGCCTTCAGGTATCCTATCAGCGCTATTTTGCTGTTCCCCTGGAGCACCCTCATTGTCAACATTGACACCTTTCTCACGGCACATATCTTGCCATTTCGCCAGGATCTCTGCATTTGTCTTTCCATCAGGGCAGCTTGGGCAGACCCAATCTTTACTCCGCTTTGCCCAGTCCTTCCTAGCTTCACTGCTTGCATCTAGTCCGCCAACCTGACCCTTTGCCTCACCGTCCATAAAGCTTCTGATTGCAGTCAAGGCGGTCCGGATACCCCACGCTGGCTGCCAGGTTTGCTCATGATGCCGGCTTATACTAAGGCATATCTCGCGGTTAACTTCAAACCGGCCGGAAGGAGTTAGGAAACGAAACGAAGGGGGCCGTAGAGGATATTGCGGGGGAAGGAGGATGCGGCCATGGTATATGCCACCAGCATAAGGTGACGGGGCAGGAGGCCCTGCAAGGGTAAAATGCCACTCAAAGAGGTTCGAGTCAGACAGCGGATGAGCGTGGAAGTGAGGACATGGCGAGGAAGATGACGGAGAGAGCTCTTGGGCCTCTTTCATGAGCCGTCGCAGGGTCGTGTTATTAGCAGACATGGCGAAGGGAAACGCGGATCGATCAACCTATGCTATTCGAACAGCAGTTTTTCCCGGGTGTCTGCATCATTTATCTCACGCGATCACCTTGTTGGTTCGGATATCGCCAGCGTAAAAGTAGTAGCTTTGGGCTGCTGTTTGTTGCCTCCAGCTATGAAAACATCCAAATCGATGATTCAATGTTGGCCTCTGCGAATCGCCGAGGGAAACTCTCACGTGACCAACCATATTCTTATCCACCGTTGAAGGATTGAATATTGAATACAGAAACACTGCGCCTTTGGAAAGGCGCTTTAGGGAGCCAGAGGACCTTGCAAATTGGCTTAATGAACTGTTATTCATCCAGTGTTCCAAACGGGGTCAACACATTGGTATTATTCATATATTCGAAAAAGAAAATTTAACTAGTTAACTCCGTTGAGATCTTTTAAAACAATAGACAAGCTTCCAAGCCCAACACGCCAGCACTCCAAAGAGACGAAATCCAGCACCTGGTCTAAAGTACGGCGTGAGTGAATATACCGTACCAAACATAGACATGCAAAAGTCAAAAAAGCAGTAAGAATACAGGAAAAGGGCAAACGGCAGAGAGCGACCCGAGTAATCAATCCCAGTTGACCCATTCTTCCGTCACCCCTTTTGCGGCACTGTTAGAGAGGGCTTGTTTAGCAGTATTATTTGCTACAAGCGCATGCCGTTCGCTAGCCTCGTCGGAACTCGTGCTGTAACGATCAGAGGCTTCATCAATGTCTTCCTCTCTTTCCCCGGGCCGAGGACGGGGGGACATCGGTCGTAACGTTTTCATGGAAACACCGGTAGATGGCCGATCTTCGGCACTGCTTCCCATATAAGGCGACGCTCTCATGTTTCCCGTACTGTTGAACCTTCCGGTCCATGAATTTCCAGGGTGAGGTTCAGAGGCATGCCATGAGTGATGCAGAGCTGTAGTGGGCAGGGACCGACTTGTTTTTGCCGCCCGCTGCCAGAACTGTTGGCGCTGGAGACGTTCTTCTTCCCACCTCTGGTGTCGCTGTTGTTCAACCCTAGCTTTGGCTTCCTGCCATTTGCTGCTAGGTTCCCAGCGCCATCCGTCGCCGATGGTGGTGCATATAGGGATAGGCCAGAGGAAGGGATTTGGTCCAAAGAGGTGTAGCAAGTTTCTTCGCCACCCGAGATCAAATGCATGGGGCAGCTTCTCACTGTCGCACTCCGCTAGGTATTCTTCATACCTATCATGTTCCCGGGCTCTATCGAGTTCTCCGTAAGATCTAAAGAGAGATTGCTGAGCAGGTGTTTGGTATTGCTCGTAGTGCTCGTCAGGGTTGTAGTCGTTGTGCTGGTGTCTTCGGTCTGGTATTCTCGTTCCTATTGTAGGCGAAGAGCGTTCTTCGCCTTCTTCAGCGCGAGTGACGCCCGGGATCGCATTGGCATGCATATCAATAAACTGTTGCCCGTAGCCCTGAATGGTTCTGCCGAAGTCTTTTGTGGTCGCCCCCATGTTTTGAGCGTCTGGCTGGTGGTGCTGCCATTCTCTCCTTTGTCGATCCAACGTCTTCCTGACCGGGGCCAAATATCTCGTCTTCTCTAAACATTCAATAGTCGTCAACCCGCGGATCGAGAGACTAATATGCCAACCTGTAAAGCCGCTTAACACCAGAGACATCATTCCCGAAACAACGGCCAGTATTATCACGTTAACTGGCAAAAACCGTTCCATATATTGCGCATCTTTCATCAACTCATCCCATACCCAAAGCACCGAAACAGCAAAACAGACATAACAAAAAAGGCATGTATATATCAAAAACAGCAGAAAAGCTTTATAGTTGTACATTCCAACGCAGGTAGCCAGCCACGGGCAGTGGTGGTCCATTTTCAACACACAGCGTCCGCAAGTTGAGCAGTGATGTGCCCGATCTGGTTTCCGGCACCGACATTTCTTGCAGTAGCGCAGTTCTCCCATGGAGTTCACTGTGACAGAGCTATATTCAGGGTCTTCGATGGTTGGGAGATGGCTGTATTGATGCCTGGATCGGCCATGGGTAGAGGTTTTTAGGGGCGTTCCGGGGTCGGTAAAGACCGCAACCGTATACGATGTGTTCATCAGAAGGTAAAGAGAGATCCCAAAAACGCTGCCCAGTGTCCCTGTAGCCTCGTTAGATCTCCTGTCAAAGAAATATCTTATATGGATAGGGACAGGCGTACCTTTCCACCAGCTCTTTGTGTGGTATATACTAACTCCAGCCTCTACCCATATCGCCCACGTCGTAAGTCCGTAGACAAAAGCAAGAGGAAAATATTTGACGGCGCTGCAGAGAAGTCCTTCGCAGGTTTTTACCAGTCCGCTTCTTCGGCGCTTCGTGGGAGACAAGGGCTCCGGTACTGCAGAAGCAAACGCCTCCATAGTGTCGAACCTGTGGCAGAGGCACGCTGAAGTTATTCAAAGACTGCTCGAGAAGATGACCGGTTCATTGTGGGAACTGCTGGTTACGTAGTTATCGGCGGGTAGAAGGAACCGAGCCAGCTGGGCTGGGCTGAGGACGACGGAAGTGAATGAAAACAGGGCGCTTCCGGATCGAAAGGAGGATATTTACAGGCAGAGGAATAGGCGCCGACCTTGCGGCGAATCTTGCAACGCGTGCAGTTCTCTATTTCTTAGCCTGCTGCCAGTGTTGAAATAGAGACAGATAAATGAATGGATGGATGGATGATGATGATGAAGATTGTCGATGTTTGCGCTAACTAACTACGATGCACGATACATAATAGTGCTGCGCCTCGGGATCGGCTGACGCAGCTTGGCGGATCGGACGACGCTGACTAGTTATGGGGATACTGGGACTTAATGGCTATGGAGAATCACATAACTAGCTGGCATATTATATCGATAGAGACGACGAGCTCCTGTTCTTCGATGCCCGGGTGTTGTTGAATACGAAGACAAGGGGGAGTTATTATTGATATTGGCCTAATAGTCGCGCCTGGTCTGGACAGGGAATGCCTGGCAAGAATTCTCGGTCTTGTGTGGCTGGAAAGGGGAAGAAATCCATCTTTTTGCGTCTTTATACCGGCAGAGTTCCTGCTTTCTCCAAGCTTGCTCCATCGAGGGTGATATCTCGCTGTTTGCCTGATGATTCTGCTTGATCGATGTGTTGACGGAGGCAGCTGGTTTGCAGCTTGTCTCACGCATCAGGGGGTTGGAACTCGGCCATCTGGATCTTCTTTTTTCGTAAGAGGACTGGACTCGATATGCTTCTCATTGATCCTGGCAGTAAATGTAGGGATATTAGCTGCAGTACTTGACAGGTAAATGGGAGGAGGACAGCGATACCCAACTCGACACTTTGCTTCCCCAGATGGAAGATAGTAAGGTAGCGTAAATCCATGATGATACCCTTCGCTGCAGTGCCGGACTGTGTGTCATCGCCCGTTTATCTGGCCCTTGTTCTGTGGCCGCTCTGATATTCAGTGGAGGGCGTTGTCACCACAATAGAGGGATAGAAGATAGTAGGGCGATGCTACTTCGGTATCTGTGAATACCAGAGCCTTAGTATACTGAGCAGTCAGTTAGATGGCTATTGTAGACATCTTTGGGAGATATACTCATCGTTCTCTCACCTCGCTGTTGGTTTGGTGGCGAATATACAGGCTCCCAGCCACACTCATTATCTTGCTGAATTCCTTGTCAGCTATGGATATACCACAGCTGAGGCTGATCATAGCTGCCACTGACCATATACAACCACTAGTGAAGACCACTAGGGAGGATATATCTGACCGGAGCTTGATATTCGAGCTGTGTTGCTACCAATTTAAAGGCAGGAGTATCACGGCCAGGCAAGAATCAATACCCCATACAGGGAGGAGCAGCAAGATAATAGAGAATAATAAAAAAATGTTGATGGTTGATGGTTGATAGCTAAATACAAGACTTCTATCTACCTATCTATTTTTTTTTTTTGTTTTTTGTTTTTGTCTGCTTGAGACTGAGACTCAGTGACTGTGTCTCGTGAGTGGCTAGCTAATCTATCTATTGACCTCGTCTTAGCTTCATCCCTTAAGGGGATTACTAGTCACCAGCACTGCGTAGAAGTGCGAGGTCGTCGCTGGTGGCCTGCCTGAGTACGCCGTGCGAGGGAGGCTACTCGTGACTGTCAGACAGGCGGTCGTAGGCAGCCTCTCAAGCTCATCTCGAAAGCAGGTGTTGAACCGACCATCGGAAGCTCTTGAGAACCAAGACGTGTCAGATCCGGCGTTGTGATACTGTCTACCTCCAAGACAGCCGTAACAACCCATCCACTGACAGGAACTCGGGATATGCACCGTTGGGTGCATATCAGAGACCATAGACCCATCCTTGTTTGTGTAAAGAGAGAGAAAGAGAGAGAGTGCAGAGTGGAAGAAGGTGAAGAAGAATTTGGAGGGAAGAGGGAAAGGAAGGGCCTTTTATAGACGAGAGGCTGGGTGGCGAGGTCGAGCGTGATCTGAGGTGACTGCCGTGATCTGGTTGATCTGATTGATCTGATTGATATGGTTGAACAAAGGAATGCAGCGCAGGACATGATGCCGTCATAGTAATAGCGAGGAGGACAGGACGGCTGGCCCAAAACTTGAGGATGCCGAGCAGCATGACAGCAGGACAGCAGGACAGCATGACGTGAGGCTTCAGTTATCGATTATCAACAGCAGCATCGTTGCTTCCGTGCCACGGGGATATTTGTTTGTTTATTGTTTTGTTTACATTGAGATGCCATTGAGGTCTAGAGGACAGGAAAGAGGGAGTCTTGCAGGGCGAGTTTCTCCTGCAGCAACATCACCGCTGAACACCCGTACCAGCCATGCTACGACGACGAGGATGGAGCAGCTGCTAAGCAGAGATGTAAAAGAGAAGCCATATCAAATAGAGAATATAGATGCATGAAGATATTGGTTATAGCAAAAGGTCAAGGTGGTAGATCGAGGCTGAATTAGAGTATCGGGTATTATTAGATAATCACTTTATCTCAACGCAAACTAGAAAAACATAGGGACATGACGGTATTTGAAGGGTACAAGGGCATATCTAGCTGGCAAAGGAGGATATCGAGACAGTACAGTGGTTCAAGACCTTGGTGTCAAGGGTATTGGGTATTGATTCTTCATCATTATGGCGGTGCACGCCCCACTTGCTAGTTACCAATAACAACCACACATCGGTGGTTATGTACAGTGTCTCAGCTAGTATTTAGAAAGATATCATGCTCTGGATTCCAGAAAAGATGCCTCACACTAGCCAGATAGATGCCAAACACACCAGCGCAGGGCTTCTAATTCCACTGGCCGGGGACGCGGAGCCGCTAACAAACCAGGCCAGGTTAACTGCCATGAGGTTGGCGTTTACGGGCTTGGCCAACCGTTCACTCGGCTAACTAGCTAACTGTTAACGAGCAAGCCAAAAGGCACTCAGGGAGCAGGTAGCTAGTTCAGTAAATATATTACTCCGTAGTCCGTAAGGCAACGAAGACGGGTATCAACGACCTGGTCGAAGCAGGTCACGCTGCCTGACTATGCATCATGAGGCATCTTCCGCATTATCGCCCCCATGGTTGCCTCTTATACCCCCTTAACGGCTCTGATATAGGCGGAGGCAGCAATCAATGCTGGTCAGAACAAGCTTTGGGCCGCAAATAGTGTAACCCGGCCGCGATTTCGCGCTGACGGGCCCGTCTTTTGTGGCGCTGATGGTCAGGAATGCTCCGTCTCCAGTTGGACAGAGCCCGGCCGTAGCGATGGGCTAACAAAGGGGGATCAGCTCGCTGTCCTGCTGTGGACAAGCCCTGAAACACGCCAGACGCAGTACCTGAGCAGCCAGCTCGTCTCCCGTCATCACATCACCACCACCACCACCACCACCCCCACAACAATAACAGCAACAACAGCAACAACAACAAACCAGCGCATCCAAGCCACCAAAGCCACGGAGCCACCAGGCCTGTCTCACGTCGCTGGGCTATAAAAAGCAACCCGCTGTCCCCATCCCAGCCCCGTCGAGCTTCTCCCTTGCAAAAGCACAGCCGCAATTTTGGGGAAGGTCAGGCGACGCTAAGCCCGAAGAGGGAAGATCAAGATCCATCGTCAAAATCCGCTTTGGCGCTTTTGACAAGAAAAAGTGTTTACGCAACGTCTGCGTCAACTCGACCAGCCACCATCTTCGCTTCGTCGTCTTCTGCTGCTTCTTCTTCATCTTCTTCTTCGTCTGCTTGGTCTCTCTCCTGCGGATTCATTCTTTTGCCCTTGTTCGTCTCTCGTTCAGCTGTTCGGCGTCCTCGTTTCTCTGCAGCGTGCTCTGTTTACCTGCGTTCATAGACGGCGGCAACCATGGCTGCCAACGAATACTACAACAACAGCTACTCGCAGAAGCCTCATCCAGCTTTGCCTCACGATAACGACACTCACGGTGACTCATGGGGCCACCAGCAGCCCTCGTCTCCGACCCTGGTGGCTGGAGGATACTCTCACAACTACGACAACGGCGGCAGATACGGCCACTACCACTCCAATTCAGACAACGACCTGGGGGAGAGCCGGATGGGCCATAACAACGACTACTACTCAGAAGACATTCCGCTCAAGTCAAACGCAGCTAACAACAAGCCTGAATGGGCGGACGATACGAGATACCATCCTTCTCCTCACGACCTGCCGACCGAACCCTTGAACCTCAGTGACCCCGTCAGACGCCCGTCTCGAAGGAGGAAGCATGGTTACTTTGCAAAGAAGATCCCTTGGGTTACGCATATAACATCTCTGGTGCAGATCATCATATTCATAGTCGAAATTGTTAAAAATGGTATGTCTCATTTTATATATATACCCTCTTCTGGTTTTTGTCAAACTGACTCTGCTAACGCTGCATTCAGCCCAGTTAACAGGATCTCCCATCATGACAAGACCCTCCTTCAATCCCATGATCGGCCCATCGCCCTATGTCCAGATAAACCTAGGAGCTAGATTCGTTCCTTGCATGCGTAATGTCGATAAACTCCAAAACAACCCAAATACCGTCTTCTTCCCATGCCCAAACGCAACCACCACGGATGCCAAGTGTACTCTCTCGGAGCTCTGCGGATTCGACGGAGTGCCTAATCCAAAACCAAACGGAAGCCTCGACGATAAACCTGAACCAAACCAGTGGTTCCGTTTCATTGTGCCGATGTTTCTACATGCCGGTCTTGTGCATATCGGTTTCAACCTCTTTGCACAGTTGAGCATCGGCGCCGATATGGAGAGGACTATTGGTTGGTGGAGATACGCAATTGTCTATTTCTCCAGCGGGATATTCGGTTTCGTTCTTGGTGGAAATTTTGCAGCTCCTGCCATTGCTTCTACGGGAGCATCGGGCTGCCTCTTTGGCATCTTCGCTCTCTGTGTTCTTGACCTCTTCTACACCTGGGGCAAGAAGCAGAGACCATGGGTTGACCTGACCTTCATGGTAATCACGGTAGCAATCTCATTTGTTCTGGGTCTGCTCCCTGGCTTGGATAACTTCTCCCATATTGGCGGTTTCCTTACCGGGTTAGTACTAGGAATCTGCATCCTTCGATCACCAGACACCTTGCGAGAACGCATTGGGGTCAAGACTCCTTACGTCTCCATGGGTGGTAACCTCGGAGTCGATGAAGATCAGAAGAAGTTTTTCAAGCAGCCGGTCACCTTTTTCCAGGGTCGCAAACCACTGTGGTGGGGATGGTGGCTGCTCAGAGCTGGTGCCCTGATTGGGATTATCGTCTCTTTTATAGTCCTTCTCAACAACTTTTACAAGTACCGCACCTCTTGCTCATGGTGCAAGTACTTGTCATGCTTGGTATGTCCCGTTGCCTTGATCATTTCTTTCTCTTGACGGAGATGCTAATCATACTGTTTTAATCTATAGCCTATTAGCAATTGGTGCGAGATTGGTGACTTTACTACAACGCCAATCAACAAGAACACACGAAATATTCCGTTTTAGACGCTATTCACCCTTGATGGCTGGCCTTTCTTAATGCACTGCTTGCTCGTTCGGTTTGCTATGATGAAATGCCCGACACTGTCGCCTTGATGGCTCTATATACCCCTTCCTTGGTCATGCCTCATAATTTACAGCTCGTTAAACTCACCTGTATAGTTTCCACATCCCCTGTAAAGTTCCACTGCGTTTCTCCTAGGCCGTGTACCCAAAAGGTCGGCATCAGCATAGATGATTCGGCGTTTTGGGGCTACCTTTCATATTTTTTTTTTTTTTTTTTTCTTCTCTTTTATTATTTCTTGTTCCATTTAATGACTGAATGTTGCAATTATATCCTGAGATGCGGATATGCAAATTCCCTGTCGACTTTTTATCACCACTTTGCTATAAATACTTGATTATATTGTCTTTTTTTTATATATATATTCCGATACATAGACATGTACGGAAAATGAAATCAACTTAAGGAGATTATTTCGGAATCTCATATTCCACGTTTTCTCCCTCAGCTTCAAGCCATTGGTGCCCTGCATCCCAGACCTTCTGCAGCTCGCCGTCTCCCATCTTCAGAAGTCTGTCCAAGTCGGCTTGTGAGTTCTTCTGGAACCAGCCCATGAATCCCAACAAGACCATGTCAGCATATCCGGGATGCTCTCCCTCAAAGAACGGTCCACGGCTCTTCCTGGGGCTGGGGCGTCCCTTCAACATCTTCACCAAAACCGCAATCTCGGCCTCTGTTGCTTTCCACGCTTCTTCCAGCGCCTCACCCTTCGCCTCGAACTCATCCATCGTCATTCCAAGCATCTGTTTCCGAGAAGCGTAGAAATACTCACGGCTTCTTTCATCCAGATACTTTGGCACAGCCGGGTAACAAAAGGGCAGCGCGGGCGGGTAAATGCTACGGAACACCTTCAGGACAGCAACGGCCAGGGCATAGCTGCATTGGCCGTTGGGGAAGATAGACTTGTACCCTGCCTCCGGGGGGAAGATGGTCTCGAGGTGAACGGCAAGGGCAAAGCTGTCGTTGAGCGTGGCACCCTCGTTCAGGATGGACGGTTTATGCAGGATTGCCGGCAGCGTATAAGGCACTCTGCCACCTTCCAGCGGGGGGACATGGAGAGACTTGAGCAGAGGCTCGATGTCTGGCATGGCGACGTATGTTTGGGTGTAAGGGGCCATCTTGTAGTTCAACACCGCGCGGATGGGGAGGGTGTTGGGAGACCATGATCGTGATTTACCTGGGGCCTCGCTGTTGATGTCAAAGAAGTGCACTAGCGTTTCTCCTGGAGCTGGTCTCCTTGCTGCCATGTTGCTGGCTTCCTTGAGTACGAATGAGTATAAGATAGTAGTTTTCCTGGCTGTTCGTGAGAATCGATATGGTGGTCTTCCTCGAGCTGCAAGCCCCGCGTTGGTCGTGTTTATGAGATTTATATACCCTTTCCCTCCCCTTCGTATACACAAGTACCTTGTCTCTAACCCCCGCAGCTTGATTTATAATCGCTGTTTCACTGCCCTGAGCTACTGATAAGTTGTTCTGATATGCATACATTTACACGACCGACGCCCCGCAGCGACGATGATGGCAGGAAGGGGGCATATATGCATCTATAGTCCGCATCGTACAGGGAAGTGAACCTACTCGGCTATAGAGGATAAAGAGGGTCAGTTATTCCTATTACCAGCTCTGTTGCATTACACAATTGCCGAACATTCATATACAACGATATACAATCTCACAAAAATAAGGGGATAAAGGGGAGGCCACCCAGAAAGTCCCTACCTTTGCTGATATTGTTGGCCTCGAAACGATGAGAAACCCATGCAAGGTTTATACTGGTACAGATTGTAATGCTGCTTGCGGGAAGAGACAGCAGGGGTACCGCAGGAGCCACAATGCTACCATGTCCAGGCAAAGTTTCCGTAGGCAAAAATCTGCTGCTTCACCTGGTGTGGATGGGATCCGTTCATGGAAATCGTGTCTTGGGGTTGTACTCCGTACTGCTGTCGTCACCAGCCTTGCATCCATGCATCAATAGGAGAGTGTTGCAGCATGTAGTTGCTGATCTTGCTCTGGTCTCACTCTGACATACTCGTGGCCTGTCCATCCTGCATCTGCATTGTTGCGCGCTGCAAACATACCTCACAGTATATGGCTGCATCGGGAATGAGATGAGGTAGACTAGTTATATTATGAGTATTATAGGCACTCCATTGTTTGACATCCCGCATCTGGGTATAAGCAGGTTCCCTCGTAAATCTGCAGAACTCCAGGAGATTAACTCCGCTCACATTTCAGAACGATAATTCAGCTGCAGCCCAGCCATGCGGCTAGCCGAGACTCTGTTCAGGTTCAGCTTGCGTTGACGCTGTGTATCCAATGCTCGTGCGTGTTAAACAGTAGCGGAATCAATTCTGGGGGAAGAGCGCATTTTCGTATCATACAGAAAGCCATCTGTCCGTACGGAGTAAACTCGACTAGGTTATTCTCCAGATGAGGATTGCAAGGTCATAGTTATCTCATGCACGCCGGGAGTTCTTATCGTTCTACATGCAGCCAGCCGAGTGCCTGAAGACATTTTCGTTAGCTCGTTAACATAAGCTAGTTAAAAAGCCACAGATCAGCGGAACATACGAGGAGATACATAGCTAATTAAGCAGCATTCAACAAGTTTAACCAGTTAATCAAACGGCCATAGTTAATTGGCTTTGCTGGAAGCGCGACGTCTGGGATGGTTTGGACACGAGCTGAAACCTGGGGAAACGCCTCGTTTTTGGATCGAGGTCAAAAAGCCTTTACGAACAGCCGCCTCATGAAGCAAATCTCAACATGAGTCGTGGCCTCCTTGTGTCTTTTTAGAGCTGAAACCTGATGTGAGATTAATTAATTTGATAGACGGAGCAAAGGAGGCATCGTGAGAGCAGCAGAGATGCAGGATGAGGTTACGTCATCACCAACTGTGACCCCTCGGCTTTCCTTCTGCTGCGGCGCCCTTTAATCTGTCAATTGAACGACAGCGATGAACAACTTCATCTTGCCGTCTTGTTGGTGCCTGCTAGAGGCCTTGAACTGCTGCTGAAACGTGGTAGTTAATCTGAACCATAACAGGACCAGTTAGTTAGCTTGTTTGTTATCCCACTTTATCAAGGTATTAACTAGTTGACAGTTGCGCAAGCTCTAGACCACCGGGGTATACGCGCTACCACCTACCAGTTGAACAGCATGGCCCAGGCCACAGAAGCATCTGATCCCTTGATCGCAGCTCTTCCTCCGGCTACAGACTATTTGACCTACCTGACGCTTGTCGAATACCAGCTGACCCCTGCTCGGTTGCCGGTCCTTCACCGGGTCCTTCAGGATGAGACGTTGACTATAAACATCGGCTGGGATTTGGTCAACATACTCATTCCACTTCTGCCGCACTCACGGGAATGTCTCGACGATATTGCGAGGCTTGGAAACCCAAGGGAGGTTATCCTGCGGGTTTCAGAGGCTTTGATGAAGCTCCAGGCCACGGAAGACGATTCCCTAGAAAGCGAGGATGAGGATGAAAATAAGCAGACCAGCGAGCAGCGGCATCTACCCCTCCATATTGTGCAGTTCAACTGCCTCTTATCAATGCTGTCTACGCTGCACTCACGAATAAAAACGAAATATACAAGTCGTTTCGTTGCAACCTCTCTTCACGCTGTTTTGGAAGCCTACTCAGAATTCCCCACTACAGAAACCACAGCTGCTATCCTGGAGCTCCTACGAGATTTATCAGGGGAAAAGCGGCCGCCTCTACCCCCGCGATGTCTTTCGGAACAGGCACTCAACCGCTCTACCGGAGACAAAGCACCAGATCCTGAGGCAGACGAACACGCGGAAGGAGACTCAACAAATGAGGCCACTGAAGAAAAGTTGACTCAAAGGTTACTGCAGTTTGGCCTTATCGAAACATTAAAAACATATCTCCTACAATGCGTGGACGAACCAGGTCCCGCCGGTATGCAGTGGGCGATCCGTGTTCAGGAGAAGCTTGATACTCCTCGTGCGGATGTTGGGATCCCCACATGTATCGACCAATTTCACAACGTCGAGTACCTGCGGGAGAGGGATACTACCTTGGGCAAGATAGTGGTAAGTAACGACTTGTTCTCAGTATTATTTGCAATATTTCATCCGCCTAACATCATTGCCAGGCCTTATCGAGAGACTTTGGCCTAGAGACAGAAATGTTGCAAAAGATAATATTTAAAGGAGAAAGTGATCTTCCACCTCCACTAGATTTTGATAATCTGCCTAATTCTCCTGACGAGATTCCGCTGGAAAGGCATGGGTGTATTCTTCTCCTTGCTGCGCGATGTGTGACAGCTACGCTCTTTGGGTCTGGTACACAAGAGCAGTCTCTACATCTATATCCAGACATTGTTAATATCCTGCTTAACTTCCTTGGAGATTATGCATCCCCCTATACTGCCGCAGCGGAGGAACCAGTCGCATTGATCGACTCTATCCTATCCCTTGCCGCTGTGGCCAAGACTAGCACTCCCGAAGATGCTGAAGACGAAGAAGGATTCAAGACCCTTGTTTATGGGTTGACAGCTTGTTCTCGTGGCCCTGCTCAATTCAAGGCCTTCACCCGTCTAGGGTCCATTCCTGCTCGGGCGTTCCATGCATACCCGGACATTCAAGTGAGGTATAACTTCATGCTAGAGATTCTTAGTGAAGAGGAGTCAGAATACGCGAGGTTACCCGCCATACAATGGCTTAAGGAAGAGCTTATATCACACTCTGCTAATCCGGCCGAGACTGAGACCGACAACCCATTCTCTGATCCTGAGAGTTTCACATTCTTATTCCAGTCCATCTACAAATTCTCAAGTCCAGCGCAGACGTCTACCACATCTTCTGCTCCCGAGGGTATAACGCCAGAAGTATGGATGGAGTTTACCCAGGAGATTGCACCGATATATCTTGCAAAGTTGAACTTTTATTACTTTCTCTGCAAGTCATCTAAACTTGCTGAGCAACTCCATATTTCCACTCTGCAACCAATATTTGATGCAAGATTCCTAGATCCCCTCAAGTCCTTCATCAGCGGTCTCTCGAGTCCTGCCGTTCTTTCACATGTTGAGGCAGAGATGGGTGAAGCTGCAGTACAGATGGGTATGAGTGCAGCAGAAGTGGTTTTACAGATCATTTCGGATATAGAGCGTGCTACATAAATATCAAGGAGTATGCCAACCATTTTTTCGTGCCGCTGTGGAATCAACATATCCTTCTTAAATGCCAAAGTCAGCTTACTGATATCAGTTATTTCTTACCAGCTAGATTAATTATTTTTATAAAACCCTGGCTATGACATTGTGCGCTCAATACGGTGCACTTATCGGTTTACCAAAAAGTTAAAGGTTGCTCTATCAAGAGAATGACCGTGGTTGAATGATATGCACTCTATATACAGTAGGAGGGCCCTTAACCAGACGCCACCGACAGTAGAACATATGCCAAATTTCATCCACTTATCCCATCAACGAAGCCAAACTAGAGGCATCCTCTGGCGGTAAGGCAACAAGAACACAGAAAAGAGCGACAAGAAAAGAAGGCCGAAACTGTTGCTCGTGCTCCTAACTACTGGCTAGAATAACAGCCACCTGCTGCTGCATCCATTTATACCGAACTCTTAATGGCCGCAGCGACCACTTTATATGTGTGAGTCGGGATGTAAATAACCAGCACCCAGATAATGAAAGCGAGGATTGCGATGACTGTGCTGTTGATCGTGATAATCTCGAGAGGATGCATTCCGTGTACTGGTATCGCGATTCCATAGTGATAGTACATCCAACCAATCCGGTTAATGATTCGGTCTGTCCATCTGTGCCTCGAGGTCTCAACTACCGGGATTTCGTTCGAGGCCCTGGGTTCATGCGTAACAGGCCGCGGAGGGAGTCTCGAGGAGTAAAACATCACCGGGGGGCGAGTGTATGGTTGTACTGGTCGCCTTGCCTTGCTCTTCTTTTTGAACAATTTAGGCCGCTCTGGGGGCATATTCAAAGCAGCTGAAAGGAGTATACCACAATTTGTAAGGGTAGAAATAGATATAAACGAGTGGCTTTGTATGCAGAAACGCCTGTCTTGACAATAATCCAGGCCGCTGCATGTTTATTGGAACATTATGGGCCCAATCTGTTGGTTTTGATAGACTGCATAAAAGGGGGAAAGGGAAGCCGATTCCCTTGCATACGACTTGCGCCTACTTACAGCTACGAAGTCGAGCGCTCTGCCCTTTCCTCAATAATGATGATGTCGGCATGCATTGTAGCGTCTGAAAGCAGAGATTCCTTCTTGGTCTTTGTATTATGAGCTGGTTGATCCGGTTGATCCAGAAGCAGAGGGGGTATGAATTCTGTTAGATGGGATAAAGACTCGTACTACATGACATGACTCCTGGATGCTTCTTAGCACTACAGCAATGTTCTTACGTAGGCATGAGTTCCTCCTTTCAGTCTTGGTGCATTAGTTGTTGCATGTCCCTTGTTTACAGTGTTAGAGGAAGCCAGGTGTCATGACTACTTAAGGGGCAGAGTTCCATCGTAAACAGGTATATATGTGAATATATAAGTTAAATATACACAAAAGCTCTTCTTCCTTTCCCCTTACATTGAAAAGGCGCTCTCAAATCGTTGGCAGGTAGAGGGAAAGGGAAGAAGGCAGGAGAAAGGAAATGTTTGTGTACATAGATTGAGCCATAATTATATATCCAAGCATGGCTGGATCAAGATGAAACGACCCTGCCGTAAAAATCAATAAACACGAAGTCAACCGGACACCGAGGGAACCGAAAAAGAATGAGTGATGGTATCTCCTCTTTCCTCCCCCTTTTTTTTTGGATTTTCTTATCTGATGGCGCTCTGATTCAAACAGCCTCTTGGAATTGTTACCCATGAGCATTGCCAGAGGGAAATCATGCCAGCAAAATACTCTTGGTGAAGGGCTGATGAAAAAGGGTGACATGGACAATTATACATGAACAATACACAAGAAGGGTGGTGGTGCTAGGTGAAGAAACGATGGGTCGAAAGGGGCCGTAAACGACGGATGAGATGTAAGATGCGTCTTGTTGTCAGGTAAAGCTCTATCAGACCTGGCAGCATCCAAAGTGTCGTTGGCGTCGTATCAAATCTGGGAGGGAGAGCATTGCCGGATGAGATAGATAGGATGTTGAAGGTAGGCTTTCTCGTAGCTTTGGGTGTGTCGAAACATCGAAGTAGATGCAATTCCATCATCGTCACCCGCCGCATTACCACCCCTTGGCTACCATCGTTCCGTCACCATAGCCAAGAGTGTCTAGACAAATGTCTACATAACGATGCACTGGCCAGTGCTGCCACGGGCGTTGACGGGACCTATAACGATGGTGTTAGCCACGGATCCGTACATATAAGTCTTCTAAGAATTCAAGATCATCCTTACCGGAGGTCTGAGTTGGGGCGACGTAGGACTCCATTTTGATTGTGGAAGGGTTTGCTTGCTGGAAGCTTGAAAAGTGGAAGTTGATAGATAGAAGTTGGTTGTAGATTGCTTGATCGTCTTGTTGGTGATGAAACAGGGAGCTCAAAGGAACGGCGCAAGGAAGAGATTTATATAGACTCGACCTCCTGCTTTCTCTGCTGCATGTTGAGTTATCGTTTTCGACTGATACCGAGTCAAGACATTGTTCAGCAGACAGAACTTGCCGCCCCAAGCGTCTACATCTGAATATCGCTCGTTTTTCTTTCTTCGACAAAGGGAATGGCGCCCGGAGCATTGTGATTAATCTCTCAACATGGACGGCGGCGTTGCGGAGAATCCTGGTATTTTGCATAAGTTCTTTATTCTCCATCATATGGCATGAAATGCACAGACGGGAAGCAGTTCCGTGGGAAGTATGAAGCTAGAGAGCGACCGATAAGACTGGCTGAAGATAGCTTGTAAAAAGTGGAAAGACCACGATGAGAGCTCGAGATGTCGTTTTATCATACCAAAAACGGAACGAGGCAAGATCCTAGGCATAGTTAATGAGGAATTGTGTTGCGGGTAGACGGGTGGGGAGACAATAGATAGGCAGTTAGTATTGATATTTGCCATCTTAATGGTGTATTTGGTGAAAACATTGTCTGTTTTGACTTTGTATTGTGTTGTTTTTAAAGACAGTTTGAGGTTATGGTGTACGCTGAATTCATGCTAATTCATGATAGTGTGTTCACTAAAGAACAAGGTATATTCAGTGACCTCCTTCCAAAGTCTATTATGGTTTAGCTTGAGGTACATTTAGACGCAGTAATGGCGGCCAAAGGGAGTAATTGGCCTGACCGTTTTGCTGTAGGTAATCACTTCATGCAGCCAAGTTATTATCAGAGAGCATCTAGATGAGGAAGAGTTCTGAGTAACCAAGCGTGCCGTGTAACGAGAAAGTGTGCCCGTTACGGCGTTTTGTGGCTCCAAGGAGTAGTAACTAGCAGACATGAACTACCCAGAAATCTGTGAAAACGGAAGAATCTGTCAAGTAATCCAGGGACCTAAATCTATTCTAGGATTTAGGTGAGGTATTTCGACTTCGGATACGAGGTTCAAGTCAAGGGAAATGCTCCCCTTTCTCGGCACAATTCCCCATTTCTGTCGATGGTTCGAAGGGGATAGAAGGTCAGGAGACACTAAGGCGGTGGCGTTGAGCCAGCAGTAAGCCAAATAGGATGGACCTATTTTTGTTATAGGCAGATATCGCTCTCTCACTGAGATACAAAGCCCACATATGCAAACACGCCTCAAACAGCTCGAGGATCTCAAGCCTCTTCTTCGTATAGGATATAGATATGGCACAGATAACTCTCTGGCCATCGAAGCGTCTAGTCCTGGGTATCTGATAAGTCTAAAACATCCAGGTGCTACATATTCAGCACGGGTATTATTGGGTCCTTAGAATCCATGGGGACCGTGTGAATGAAACTCCCGCTGAGGGTATACGAACCGGTGTTCTTCAGAGTGAACACCAAAGATAGGGATCCGGATTTGGATAATGAACCCGGCTGGCACCATAAGTGAAAAGGGAACTAGCCACTCACCCGTTTTTCAGCATCAAACGGCGCAAAACACGGAAGCAGCAGCAAAAAAACAATCTTGAAGTTACAATTTTTGTTGTTTAGAACAATATCAGAAGTGTCAGAGGCTAGTCCACAATAGGCCTAGCGCATTGTTCATGATGAGTCAGCAACCAATAGGAAGACGGGAAATCCAACGTCCAACTCCATCCTTGATATTGTGCTGCAGAGAACAATATCAAGCGGCAGCAAGAGGAAAGAAGAAGCAAAAAAATAAGAAAAAAAAAAAAAGCGACTCCAACTTCTTTGAGCGGAACAACACAAAGAAGAGACGAAAGTCACCGAGTCAGGACACGGAGCGACGTTGACGGATGTTCTCGACTCTTGGGATTTCTTGCCTAGATACCTGGGAAAGGGCTCTTGTATTCCAATCATTATCATCGAAATATATATCCAAAGGCAAAGAGTCATGCCAAATACAAACAAGTGATACACATCAGCCGTGTCAAAAGAAAGCGTTATCATATCTCAAAAAATAAAATATAGGGACAAAGGCCGCTCTGGATTGATTCTCGCAGAGCGCCACCATGGACTGCAAGGTGGATCATCAGGTGTAGAGGGTCTCAGTGAAGGAGTTCAGGTTCAATCCCTCCTTTGCGATGTCTTCTTCCGCTAAGAACATTAGCGGCATTTCAACAATGGTTCCCTTGACCTTAGCCAGCTCTTCCTTGACGGCCTTCACACCTTCAGGGAACTCATCACGAATCACATGGCCGGGGAGGTAGCGAGGTTCTTGGTTTCCGTTTTTCCCATCAGGCTTGCGGAAGTTGTACTCATAGAACTCCTTGTAGTCGTTCCAGTTACGAACAGTGTCATCTGGCACAACGTGGAAGACCTTTCGGTAGACCTCAGTGTTCTGTCTGGCGCGGGTGTTCCAGAGACTATGGAAGGTGTCTGCGACTGGGTCTACCACGATATTGTCTTCAGGTGAACCAAAGTCATACTCATTAGGAACTCCAACAGGTTCATAGTTGGCCTCAGGACGCTGGTAGTCCTGCGGTCGGAGCAACCCCAGGTGCTTTCGGCAGAGCTGTCGTCTGAGAGTGGCCGCAAACTGGCTGACAACATAGTTCTGCCCATTCATCCTTGACTCCATTGCGGTTGGATCTTGGATGATGACTGCGATTTCAGAGTCATGATCACCAAGCTGAGAACGGTCGTTCAAGTTCGCGCTTCCACAGATGACCGTTCTATCATCGGCGATGAGAAGCTAGTAAAATTGTTAGACAGAACCACTCCCGAACAGGGGTAAAAAATTGAAGTCGAGGAGGATAAAGTACCTTTGAGTGAACATACAACTCCTCCGTGACGAAGGCGTCAATCTCAGATGTATCGTTATCATGCTCCCACGGAACATTGCGAATGTCTTCTCCTCCAAGCATGTAGCAAGAACTTACGGTATCCCATCGACCAACGGCCGCAGCCTGCGGGTTAGTTGCAGCTACATGCTGAGCAGCCTGCTGATACTGTGGGTACGCAGCCGTGGTGTCGAAAGCAGAAGGTCTTGATGCTGACATGGCAGCATCATGTTGCTTTCTTGCATCTTCATAATTCACTCCACTTGCTTTCTCAGCTTGACGCATTATGGCACTGGCGTTTATACGGTCGTAATTGCGCAAGTTGTAGAAACGAATGTACTCCATGGGGTTATACCCTTCTTTGGCAATCAGTTCCATTATACTATTTCCTCCCCGGTTGATGGAGAAGTACTGGAACTCCATGATGGCGCGAGTGCCTAAGCTACCATCGTCGCGGAGGTCACCAGGGAATCCAGGCACGGCAGGAATGATGACGATCATCTTGTATTTCTGGCCTGCCTTTGCAGCGCGGAGGATGCGTTCGACGATGGCAGCACCAATCTTGTTCTTTACTGGCTTCTGGGCATCACATGTAGCAGTGATGAAGAACTGGTTCTCAATATAGATGAAGTGCTCGCTATCACGGATGATGGCCGCGTATGCATCTGCAATTGAATGCTCCGTCTCAGTGCCGTTACTCCACTTAGCGCTGCTTCGGACTATCTGACAGGAGACGTTTGACTTAGAAGGTCCTTGGCCTTGCCCTGGAGCATTACCAGAGAGGTATCGGTCCTGATAACGGTGGACTTGGCCAGCCAACTGGGCCCGTAGGGTGTTGCCAAAGTTGGCAAACTCACCCTTGATTCCAATTCCACGGCTGCTTCTATCTCCCTCGCTATATTCATCAACACCACGGCTTTGAGTGGGAGGATTATTGCCCTGAGTTGGTGGAGGTGGGAAGTAAGGTGCCTCAGACGAGTGTGGTTGGTAGCCACCGCTGGTTGTTGAAGACGTAGCTGGTGGAGGCCCTGGAGGAGGTGGGGGATAGTAAGGCGATTGAGACCCTTGCGGTTGCTGCTGTTGCTGGCTGCCATAAGTTCCACCTGGCTGCTGTTGCTGTTGCTGTTGCTGCTGCTGGTATCCCTGAGATCCAGGAGGTGGTGGAGCAGGCCCTGGACCGTGTTGTGATGAGGGGCGATGTCCTCCTAGGCCCATCGGCTGACGGTAGAGCTCAAGTCTAGAGACACGCGGGACTTTACGGACCGCATATTTCTCATCATAGATGAAGTTCCAGCGGTCCACAAAGTGCTTCCTCAGATCCTCTACGGCAGGACCGTGCAAACTAACGGCAACATCGCTCCATCCCATACGGGAGTTTGATTTTCGGTCCAGCTGGTTGTTCTCCCAGTGAACGACGTCTTGGAAATCCAAGACTCGGGCATTATTGTAATCCTGGCCGGGGTAAACAGCCTGCTTCAGGTCAGTTGGATGCACGTCAGCAATAGCATGCTGGTAAGTGTCCCAGCGTCCGAAGCAGAGGTCAAGACCACCCATGAATGCAGTCCTGCCGTCGACGATACACAGCTTCTCATGATGTGCCCAGAAGAGGACAACGCCGCCGCTAAGGCCGTACACCGTTTTAAGTGCATCACCAGACAGCTTTGAGAGACCTGCCGCGTTTAATGTCAGATTCTGGAAGGAAGACATCACATCCGAGTGCACAGTCTGCTTGTCTGGTAGATGGTCTGGGTGACGGAATACAACAATGTTCTCGTGCAGATCCTCAAGGTGATGTTTTGTATGAGACGAGGACACTTATGATCTATGTTAGCCTCCGGCTTTATCCAGGAACATAGTACTAAAAGCGGTTGACTTACATGACAGTGCCTGGGTTACCTCCTTGTAAACGATGATGTTGACGCGAACTCCTCTTTGGGCGGCTGCCTGGAGCATTCTATCGATACGATACTGTTCATTCTGAGCCGGAGGCCGTCTGAGATATAGCTCTGGAGACAACCACCCTAGAACACCCGTTGGTTAGATAAAATACCGGCAATTGAAGGATGGGAAGAGAGGCCCTACAGTCAAGGATCCAGATAGACTCCCTTGCTGTTTCCAATGCTCTAGACACAGCCCACATATAGCTACATCCGTCGACATACCACTTTGCATCTCCATGGTGCCGGACGGGTGCAAAGCTCCCGTATCTGTTCTTCGAGTTGGCACCAGCTGTGTCTGCACCATATGTAGCGTACGCATGAGGGTCGAGGTTGGATCCGATCCGCTGTGCGACCTCCGAGCCGATACCCTGTAGCTTGCCGAATATGCCGGAGACTAGGTCAGACTTTGGAGGTTTGCCGCCACTGCCATGACCTCCGCTGGCGCTCTGGTAGTATTGGGGGTTCTGTCCGTGGGTTGGATCTGGTGCGTATTGACCTCCTTGCTGGCCGGGTGGCGGCTGTTGGTACGGCTGCTGGTACTGTGCCTGGCCCTGAGGGTTGTAACCATGGTTCCCGGGCTGACCCTAAAGTCTGTTAACCACGGCTGAAGAATATAGGATAGCAACAAAAAAGGCTTGACAGCTAAAATTGTAAATGCGATACTCTACTCACTTGATATTGTTGTTGTTGTTGTTGTTGTTGCTGCTGTTGCTGCTGCTGGCCTTGCTGGCCCTGCTGGCCATGCGAGTACTTGTCGTACTTGTCACGGAACGTCCGTAGAGTGTCCCCGAGAAACGCTCTGGTACTCCCGGACCCAGAACCACGATCCGACTGTCCAGGGGCATGCCCGTACGCTAGATGGTCATCGTTTCCAGCCATAGCTTGCTGGCTTGTTCCCTGTAGTTATCCTTTCTCCGGGCAGAGCTGTCTGTCTATGGCGGTGCAGCGCGGGGCAGCAAGCTGGAGATGGCGATGCGAGAGACGAGCGGGAGCAACTTTCTCACGCTATCAACGGGTGCGTCCGCGTCGGTATATCGAATCTTCATCAAGCAAAGGGAGAGACAGCAAGGAGTAAGCGGCCGGCCAGCGTATTTATGTGCTTGCTTGCGTTGTTGTCTTCAGCCCGCGAGCGAGTCTCAGCTGGTGATGGTCGTTCGCGGGGGAGAATCGTGGCTGAGCTTTTTTTCCCTCCAGCGGGGACGGCGCCACTTCCAATGCAGCGTCACCCGCGGGATTCACAGCAACATTCGACAGCAACGTCGACATTTTAAACGATAACGAACGGGACAGCACGCCTGAAGAAGACTTCTGGATTGACGAGACAACTACGGAGTACGGGGGGTCTATGGACACGTCTACGACTGCGAGAGACCGCGCTTTGCAAGCCCCTCCTGGTACCGCTCGACCGCCGGCTGCAGCGCCTCCCTCCTCGCCAGGCTCCCCTTGCTCCAGATCTCCTCGCGCTCATAGTAGGTCTCTACCACAGGGACGTCCGGCGGAAAGACGACCCATTTCAGCTTCGAGGAGGTGAAGATATGGATGTCCGGCGGCAGCGAGCTCGGCTCGTCCAGCGTTCCGACTCGAATGAAGGAGATCAGCCGGCCGGCGCTGGGATAGTGACTCCAGAGAGCGACTCGACAGCTGCTGCAACGCACGATCTCCTGGCCCTTCCCGCTCGCTGACGGCGTGCTGACGATCTCGATCTCGGTTTCTCCCTTGAGCAGGATGAGATGGTCGGACTCGATCATGGCGTTGATGGCGAATGCTGAGCCGGTTTCACGCTGGCACCCTGCGAGCCGTTAGAAGGAGTTATCCGATAACTATAAGAGACGCAAGAAAAGTGATGATATCTAGGGTGCATACAGGTGCAGTGGCAGCAGTGGACTACCAGGGGAGCCATCTTCACCTGGTACCGCACTCCCTCGCAGTCACATCCTCCCTCCAGCGGATATCTGGCCTCAGTCGACATCTATACTGCAGTAGTAGTAGGAGTAGTAGTGGTAGTGTCTGCGTGTCTCGATGGAAAACAGAGTGTTTCCTTGAACCTGAGACGCTTGGGACGGTTCTGCTCGCTTATATACCTGTAGAGCTTCGTAGAGCTGTCTCGTATTCGCGGCTGGTGATACAGCTCCCCCCGTATATATACATCTCGTATGTACATGGCCGTCCGTCACTCGCAGGCTCTTGTCAGACGTAACTATGTACTTCGCTCCGGCGGCCCTTAACTAATAAATAATGTGGAGAGAGAGTTACATATCTTGCTTCCCCCGCAGCTTGATCCTGTTTCTTCTCGGTGATGCATGATATATTTGATATCTGATACTCGATATTTGGTAGATAACTTCAGAAGTAAAGCAAGCCGACCAACTAGTCAAAATGGATCTCGTAACTCTCGACGTGCGTATCCCTACAGCCCGTATAATATATTTCTATAGTTATATGACTGGACACGAGAATAACCAGAGTCATCTAGGCGAGCGAGCATGCCAGCTACCCGGAATACTGCTCTCTGCTCTTCCAGGGCAAGGCCAGCAAGCAGCTCTCCTTCGAGCAGATCGCAAACCACCTCGGCCGCAGCGAGGTAGCAGTGGCTGCTCTCTTCTACGGACATGCCAGGGCGTCTCCCGAGGACATCGACAAGCTCTGCACGCTGCTCGGGATCCCGCCGGCCGACCTGAAGATGCGTCTGCGAGGGTTTCCTGACCGCGGGAAGGGGGTTGACATGCCGCCCCGGGACCCTCTCATCTACCGCCTGTACGAGATCGTCCAGAACTACGGCCAGGCATACAAGGCCGTGATGAACGAGAAGTTCGGAGACGGCATCATGAGCGCCATCGCCTTCTCGACCAAGGTGGACAAGGAGGTTGACGAGCAGGGCAATGCCTGGGCGGTGCTCACGATGAAGGGCAAATGGTGAGTCCTGGAGCTCTCTCCCTTCTTCTCTCTCGACGTCCTGCTATTGTTATACGGCTTGCTGACGGTCCTGCCATATGTATGTGAATATCAAGTTAGAATCTACAGCTTCAACAAAGTAGTCAAGCCTCATTCACTTCCTGCTGCTTCACTGCCTTTGTCACTGGACATGTAGAGAAATAAGCATGATAGCACTCCTCTCCTTATAGATACCAGCCTGTCAGCCTGCTTTGAGTCCATCTGCTTAGTGCTGCCATCTTCTGGCTTCTGTTACGCGGAGCTAAGGATATAAAAAAAGTGAACTGAGAGCCTTCACTTTCACTCCTCACTCTTCCTTCACCTTTTATCTTTACCTGCTTCTTCAATATCCAAACTGCCTGCTCCCTGCTCACTGTACCTGCTGCTGCCAGACGGCAAAGATGGAGAACGAGAAGCCTGCCAGCAGCTCGAGAGCCTTCCCTTGCCCCTACGAGGGCTGCCACCAGGCGTTTGCAACGGCCGGACAGCTCGTCAACCACAAGAAGTTCGCTCCTGACCACGAATACTGCGAGAGATGCAACGAGGACTTCAAGTTCGAGGAGGACCTGCTCCTCCATAAGATGAAGAGCTCTAGGCACATCATCTGTCCCATCTGCTTCGACGACTTCCGCAGTGAAGGTGGCCGAGACGTGCATATCCAGCAGGTAAACACTCTTTTTTACAGCAACAGTCAAGAGCGTGAGACAGAGAGAATCATTCAGACTAACTGCTCGATAGTTCCACCGCGAGGAGCAGAATATCGAATGTATCGGATGCAAGACCAAGTTCCTGCGCGCTGCTCCCCTGATGGCGCACGTCGAGCAGGGCCGCTGCGAGAAGATCAGCCTCGACAAGTACCGCATGAGACGGGTCGAGAAGAAGGCCGTCAAGGAGAAGATGAACGAACACCTCGCTACACACCACTCCTTCTTGCTCTCGTCTGCCGCTTCCAGCGTCGACGGCGGCGTTGTAGTGGCCATCGATAGCGTGCTGGAAGAGGGTGCCGACAAGCCAGCCGAGATTGAAGCAAAGAAGGCCTCCATTACTGAGAAGATGGGTGCCATGGGCATTGGAGCAGGCCCGTTTGGTGGTTGTATTGCCGCCCCAGAATCCGTCCGCAGCATCAAGCAGTGGCCTACTCTACGTCAAGGAGACGACGAGGACGAAGGCAGCGACCGCGGCGGGCCTTCTTCCCGCTCCAACTTCAAGGCTGACGACCTCATGGCCTTCTCGGAGACGTCTGTTGCTAGAAGCAGAAAGGACCAGGACAGACCTTCTATCGAGACAGTCATCCCCCGTCCAGAGCCTCTGAGTGTGTCAGGCTCCGACTCGGGCTCTGGCTGGGATACCTCCCGTGTCATCCCAGCCCGCACATTGAGCGAGCACGAGACCAGTAAAAAGATCGCCCTGTCTGAGGTTGAGCTCAGCAAGTTCTTCAGCGATGTTCACGGCACCTATATTTGCCCCTGCGACACCTCGTTCAAGACCAAGGAAGCCCTTGAGCAGCACATTGCATCCGGCGTCCATGCAGCAGGAGTCGCCCGGTAGGTCCATCCGTATCTATCCCTTCTTTGCATTTCAATTCTTTTTCGGTCCAATTCCCTCCTAACTGTATTTAATGTTCATTGGTATAGTTGTCCGGTGTGCCTGCGCATGTTCAAATCCTCCGCAGCACTGGTCGCGCATTGCGAGTCTGCGACCAAACGCTGCAAGATCAGCCAGACGAGGAACTTCGGCCAAGTCATCGACGAGATTTCCGGAGGAATCATTGGGGCTGCCGGCCGTAACGACGATGGGACGGTCCGCTTTGAGGCTGCGCCAGGGGCTAAAGAGATCGAGTGGTAGTTTGTTTAATGCGCCGTGGCACAATCGCATGGGATATTCTTAACTAGTTATCCTAGGGAGTTGAAAGGGGGTTTTATGTTCTTGCATCCAGCGAATCTATCAGGAGCAGGCGGTATCATAATTATTCTAGTTATTAGTTAGTTCTTTCATTGCTTGGTGAACGAAGAATCGGAAGCTGAGAAGTCTGACCAAAATCAAGCCAAGCATCAACCAATTCTTTTTTTTTTTTTTTCTCTCTCGCCGTCGAACAACCAACCCTCCTTCATTCACTTACCAAGACAACGCATTTGACGATATACGAATATATACACGCATTCGATTGTGATACTACCGGCCTCTCACACTTATATACCGAGGAAAAATACCATCATTGCTGTCGATCCCGCGAATATCTAGCTGGCTATTTAACCAAACATGTCGCAACCCTCGGAGCTCGCTAAGAAACGAGCTGAAGACTACAAGAGATTCAAGCTCTATGCAGCCGTTGGGATTGGCGTTGCTGCTCCAATACTCATTGCCCTGCCCCCTCGAAAGCTCGACGTGTACACGGCCTCCCTAATAACGGTATGCGTCGTCTCAGTAGACTACCTTCTGACGGAACGAACGGGCAAAGGCATACTCTCGCAGATGGCAACCTTGGTTCCGGCAAAGCCATCCCTTCTCAATGACCTTCCGACGAAAAAAGCCGAAGAGTTAAATGAACGGATGCGGCTTGCGAGAATTCAGGAGCAGGAATTAGAGAGGCTACGAGGTAGCATGCTTGGTGAAGAAGAGGCAGAGGAAGAAAAGCCCAGCTTGAGAAAGAGTATTAGAAAGTTCTGGATGGGCAGGGAGACTGAAGGATGGGTGGAGAGGAGGCGAGAGGAAGAAAGAAAAGCTCTGGCGGAAGGGAAATCATATTCTGAGATAATGATGGACTATTTTCGAGATGCCTGGAGGCTGGATGAGGGCCGCGAGCAAGGCGGCAACGGAGAGAAAAACCCGGTCAAGCAGCAAGAGGTGCAGTCAGTCGAGCAGAATGAGAAAGATTCAACAAGCTAGTTTCTGCTGGTGGGCGACTGCTCCTTTATTCCCAATGTGCCTATGCGATGCCAGAATTGCTATCTGTGGCTGGACTGATACCCCATAGACGCCCGATGTCACCAAGAACAGCGTCGTGGATCTACACTAGGCCTAAATACCCAGATTCCCCCTACCAGGCAGCTGCCAATACCTGGAACAGGTGGCAGCGAACAGGACTTCTAATGGCATACCGGTTCTAGCTCTTCCAAGCTATTCCGTGGCTCTCTTGCTGGTGAGAAAGCCATGAGTTTGTATAATAAAATGATGCTGTCATCAGTAACGGCTAATTAAACCTCTTTGACAGAGGTTAATTCAACCAATCCACTCATTCATTCCCTTAATATGCACCAGTCTCTTTATGCTCCAACGAAGCTACCGGCATAATAGCTAGACGCTAGAAAGTTGCCTGCACAAGCAGCAAGTCATAGAGATATATGGGAGCCAAGTGGTACAAAATATGTCAATTCTTATCAATAGAATCTCAAAATTCCTGTATCATGAATGTAATCAGCATTGATTGATAAGCATACACAAAGCCTCAGGTGGTTTTCAGCTCGGCTTTCGAACTCTTCTCCGCTGTCTCATTCTGATCCTTAGGACTTTCAGGGTCAACCTCTTGCTATACACTTCTTAGCTAGGCTACTTTTCAGTACGATTGCCACACTGGAAGACTTGCCTGGCTTTTTTCTTCTTTTTCCTCTGTAACCATCATGAGATCATCACCCCATATTATTTTGGCCCAGGACCACATATAGGCAAAATTATGGGGTCTAGGTGTTTCTTCCCCGGTGAATGTTGACTCGGGGACAAGGATGGGGCAGTTCAGCGGGATCTTTGTCTCCATTTGATTTCTTGGTGTATTGCTCGGTGGTTCTTTTTGACCCCTTTTTGTTAAAAGTTGATATTGTCGGAGGGTTATTGGCTTTTCTTGTAGAGAAATAGAGAAGTACCAGACAGAAATCTATGGCAGGAACCCCAGGGAAGTAAGGGGAGTAATGTTGCAGCCTTTATCTTGGACATCATGAATCGAATCCTAGGTAAAACAGTAAAGTGATTTATTGACATGAGCTAAACTGGTGATTACACCTGCGTGCAAATTCGGAGCAGCTCAGTATGTCACTACCCTATTCCATGTTGATATTAGAGTGACTTGATGTGTCTGGGCATTTGCATCCTCCATGAAACCCCTAAAACTACTATAAGTAACAAGCCAGCCCGGAAGAATAAGATATTTCATTGGAGGCGCAATAGGGAAGCCATTGCTTATACTTCACCTGTCATATTGCTTGAGGAAGCCGGAAACTTTGTGAAGTACCTCCACGAGGCATGACTTAGAGCCTTCACCAATAATCTTTTCGCAGACATAGCGTTGTCTAGGGGGCATCTCCGCTATTTTTCACTTTCTTTGCTCTGGCTCCACCACCCGCCGATTCAATGCTCTCCCTCTTCCTCTTCCGATTTTTCTCTCGCTTCTTCCGCCGAGTTTCCTCCCTGAGCTTTAGCCGCGCTTCGACTTCAGTGGATATATCTTCAAGCTCGATGGAAGGTACGTCTTCTGGTTCTTTAGGCGCACCTTCCCGTGCAGAAGGACCGCCTAACAAACCCTTTGGCCTCTTAAAGTCCGTTCTTTCCTCAGCAGTGTTACTGCCGGAGACTAAAGAGTCGCTCGAATGTCTTGAACGTTTTCTGCGCCTTGGGCGTTCCTGAGTGGCAGCAATTGAGGGTTCATCACTATTGGGTATTGATTTTTGTGTTGTTTCTCCATTCATAGATGAAGTGTTTGCTTTCATGCCATTCACTGTGCCATTGATTGTGGCACTGGGATGCCTCGAACTCTTCGACCTTGTTACTGGTCTTGCCGTATTGTGGAGAAGCTGTCGCTGAATTAGTATCGCTTGGTGAGCGCAGATAAATTCCTCGGAGAAGGTTTAAATACAAATTCTTCCCTAATTTTCTTGATTTCTTCCATGAATCGCTGGCTCTGATTTATCATAGATGATATGGCAAAGAACGAAATCGTCGACTGCGGCGTCTGACCACGAACTTTGGCGCAAAGTTCAAGGTGATTATTGATGTTCGATTCATGTTGCAAAAAGAGCTAACAAATTCGGCTCATTGTCAGAGTGTTCCATAGTGTAAAGTGAGTGGGCGACATGTCCGGGTATATGTTTTATAGGAATCCACGCGATCACTGCTGGACCTACCTCTAATAGGGGTGTGGAATCATGTGGCGTTTGAGATTGGGGCTGGGTCTGTGGTCGCCCACTTGCAATTTCAGACGAAATAAAGCCCATCTGATAACCAGCGAATCGTCCAGACACCTAAACAACTTCTCAGCGCAGAATATCCAGCCGTCCAATACCGGTTTGAAGAGCTTGAAAATCGGGTGTTTGATCAAGCTTCGGATAGCCGGCGGCTAGTAAACGCTAGACTTCGTATTGGTGCGGTTATTGCGGCTCCTCGCTTGGTGTTGGAGGACGCCAAGAGGAAAAACTATAATTTCCAAGTGTTATTATTGACGGTCAAATGAAATCAAACCATCCATCCTTCTACACCAGTATTATTATTGACCTTATATATGCACTCCGTACCATTATATATACCATATTTAACTTATTGGCCGTGATTTGGACCAGCCTTTATTCTTCTTTCTTCCCGACAGTTCCCCCCTTTCGTAAACCAAAGAACGAAATGATCACGACAAGAGCACAGCTCGAAAATATGGTCCAAAAAGCGCCTCTATAGCCCAGCATAAGCCTCTCTTTATGATCCTGGATGGTTTTATGGTCTGATATTGATGCAGCGATAGAAGCTGTAACTGCAAGACCAACCGAGTTCCCAAACTGCGCAACTTCGTTGAATACCCCTCCAGCCAAAGACTGAATATCCGGGGGAAATGCGTCAGAGATGACTAGATTGGATACTGTGAAAAGCACTACATGTTTCACACATCAGCCTGGTGCAAACATGATAAATGAAAGGGGAATATTACCATCAGGATTGACAGGTGATAGAAATAATGCCCAAAATGGCGAGAACCAGTAGTTTTCTCCAACTTTGATCGTTGCCATGAGAATGGGTGCAATCATGGTTACCAAAGCCGAAACAACACCAAGGGTCTGGACCTTGACCCTGGAAATGAGATATGCTGTCGCAATATTGACACACGTTCCCATTATTATATGCGCGAGGAAACGGATGGAACTCTGAAATGCAGTTATGCCTTCTACCTTCTGGAAACTATCGCCATATCAGAAACTCTGACTTTGAAAGGTGTGAGAATTATACTCACTATAGGGTTGTAAAGTACTCAATCCCGTTAAGGGAGGCCCAACAGAAAAATACTGAAGCGCAGATTGAAGAGAAAGCGCTATTTTTCCATAGTTTGTTTGGAATAAGTGCAGGTCTCGATCTTTTCACTTGGAACCTCATCCAAAAAGGGAAAGTTGCAAGCAAGAGGATTGATACCACAAGTAAGACAATGTTCTGAGCATTCCCTACCCTCTTGTAAGAGGACGTCGTCATAGCTAGGACATACATCAATAGACCCAGTGCTGCGCTCATTATAATCGCCCCGAGCCAGTCGATGTCTTCCATAAGACGGCGGTTCCACGGCTTATCAGAATGCTGGTGAACAGATGGTAGGGACCATATAGAAGCCGTTGAGAGACAGAAATTGATAATTCCCATCATGTAATACGCCCATCGCCAGCCGATAGTATCTGTGAAGATGCCCCCCAACACCAACCCAGCAGCATAACCAAGGGGCTGTCCCATTCCGTTCATAGCAAAGGCAACATTGCGCCATGGGCCTTTAGCAAACGTATTGGTAATGAGACTCACCGCGGTAGGTAGACACATGGATATTGCGGCACCTTGGAAAGTTCGAAATAGGATAATCTGTATACTCGTCTGGGAAAATCCAATAGCAAGTGAGAATATAACGAAGAGGTAGCTCCCAACAACCCACATCAACTTGGCCCCAATAACATCGGCCACCGCACCAAATATCAGAAGCAGACAACCTGCAGCCAGGGCATAAACTGCTGCTGGCCAGAGGATCAAGCTTTCAGAGAGACCAACATCCTTAGCTATCCGGGGTAGCGCGGCAATGAGAATACCAGATCCCATGGTGTTTAAGAAACTTATGCCGGCCAAAGTAATAATAACTGTTACACCTCTGACCTTTGATATTTTGGGAGATTCGAGCGCCCGCATATCTCCATCCTCTGCTGACGCGGGAGGGGTTCCAGGGTGCAAGTCATTTGTGGAGCTAATGGTTTCCTTCGTCTCTTTGCCATCCTCAGAGCTGTCTTGCTTGACCGTGTCCGATCCCACAGGTGGAAGTTGCCCCGTGGGAATGGAGAACAGTTCAATCGGCGCGGAACTTGGCTCATCTCGCCTCTGGTCCTTGTTTGAGGTCGCCATACTTCTCCTATATGCAGTTGAGGAGAATCACTGCAGATTTCACGCAGTAACTCGTGCTCGAATCATAGGCTCTCTGTGTATTTATCCCATGGATCGAGTTCTTAGTTGATCAAGGAGAGTCGAATTATCCTCTTAATAGCAACAAAGTCAAGTCTCCAGCAGTTAGATCCGAATTTCAGCCTGATCAGCCGCCTCTTAGTTCCCCCCGCGTGCCTGTGGCCTTTCCCTGCATAATAACCAGACTTGCATGCAGTTAAGCGAGTGCGATTAGAGAGAGTATTGAGTCATGGGCTGTCGTGGCAAATCCGGGGTCGCAACGCCCATAAGCAAAGACGTTCACCCCAAAGCCTATACCTAGTCAACTAACCAGTTAACTAACTAAACAACGTAAGCAATCTATAAATAAATCCTCACTAGCAAGGGGAAGCAGGGGACTTACGTCCTTAAGCTGCAGGACTGGTGGTATTAACCTGCAGTATTGTGCTCACATGGCATATAATTCCAAGAATACTCGGCTCCTTCGTCGCTGAAAGAATCCTTAATCATGTTGTCCAAGCAAAATGTGATAGCTGCTATAAAAGCTCGTTCGTAAGAGGTGGACGAAAAGAGCGCGAGTGTCTAAGACAACACACACACAGAGAGAGAGGGATCAGAGCCTGCGGCTGACATCAAGTACGAAAGGATCAAAGGAGGTAAACAGCCAAACTTCCTGTTCTGATGAAACTGTCGAGGAAAGGATAGTGCATACGAAGGAATTACGATATATCAAGGTCTTGAATTCAATATGAATGGTCAGCGAGAAAGTGGTCTCAACCCCCCTGTCTCCTATAGTTGCACTAATGAGGCATTTTGGAGGCTGCGATAGTGTGACACGACGTATAAACCCGAAACATGGGGTGAACTCTCAAATATAGTCCAAGAAGAATAACTCTGGTTGGATCAGTTGTCAAGATTCGCAGTCCTGACTCATATCCTTCTATAGCCTTCCTAATAGAGTATTTGCATGGCGGGCTCTGTCATACTAGTCGATGTTAGAAGGTAAACCCCGTAGCCATTAGGGGTTAAAATGTGAGTTTATTCTCTAGGGTGTGATATTTTGATATTCCAAGGCAGTTTGCATTTCTCAATCGTACCCCCATCGAGAAATTGAATCTAATGTATTGCAAATAAAAAAAAAACTATAAGCGAGTGACAAAATTGCCCGGCATAAAACCTTTTTTAACTTTGGATGACCACCACTATTTAGCATAGCCTAGCATTTGAGGGATTCACAGGAGACCCAGCTGTTGAGGCGTAAGCACATCCATATCATCAGAATGATTCCATTCGTGTACAGTTCGTACTCGGTACTGATTATGAGGCTGAAGACATACTGCCTCCAATAATGAAATTGCGACAAACGATGGAGCTGAAGTGCAAGGAGCCCTCAGAACGATCAGCTTTCGTGACTAGGGAAACCACTCAATCAACAATTCAAATCCACATGTCCACTATGCTGGAAGATAGGAGTATTTAAATGGTTGGGTAATCCCAGTGGATATAAAAAGGTTCAATTTGAAGATTGTTTTCTGCATAGCGATCTGTCACAATCGTACTTGAAACAATGCTTCATTCACAGAAGGTGGTTGTCGTTGGAGGAGGCCCTGTTGGGGCGTTATCTGCGCTTTATGCTGCTAGAAGAGGTTATCAAGTCGAGTTGTATGAGCTGAGGGATGGTAGGTTGTGGCTAATTGTGGACTAGAAACGTCAAATTGACCAGTTGCTTAGATCCAAATTATGGTGACCCAAATGCTAGGCCGGATATTGCAGTTATCCCACTAGCCCTTTCAGAGCGCGGTATCAGGGCCATCGCCAGCGCAGGTGTGCCTGGACTGCTTGAAGATATCCTGGACAATTCAAGGCCGGTATATAAACGAATGGTTCATACATGGGGAAGTCAGGGGCAGCACATGCAAATCCCAATGACATACGGGCCACAGGGACAGGTACGTTGAACGCACATATATTTGCTTTGCAGCTTAGTAACTGGCACACGTAGTGTCTTCACACTCTGCAACGAGAGAAGATAACCAGGCATGTTATGCTGGCACTTCTCAAAGAGCCCACAGCAAAGCTCTTTTTCAACCAGAAGCTATCAGCATGCGACTTCGAAAGGAAAACAGCAACTTTTGAGACGGTGACTTGGCGAGAGAAGTCCCGTTTCTCAGAACAGGAGCTGGCAAATGCTGTCCTGGGCCATGTGTCGCCTATACCTAACGGAACTGGGCAAGGGTGCGAAAATGTATCTTTGGGGTTAGGAAATGTATCAAGCACCAAGCGCGTGGACTTTGATTTTTTGATTGGAGCGGATGGGACCTATTCCAGTGTTCGACAAAGTATGATGCGAAGCCTTGAAATGGACTTCTCGCAGACTTACGCCAATGCAATGTGGTGTGATCTGATATTCCCTCCGGATAAGAACGGCCACTATCGAATAGACCCTAAGTGCCTTCACATATGGCCATCTAACCAGAGCATTGTTATCGCTCAGACCGATATTGTACGTGTTATCCATCGGGTTTTCCATTGATATGGTCATTGACAAATTACAGGACGGTTCATTTAGGGCTGGAATGGTCTGTGACACAGAAAAGCTTCGATACTTTGAAGCACATCCGGAGGCGTTTTCGGAATTTTTTGTCAGAGAATTTGCTGGAATAGTGCCAGAGCTTCTTTCGGCGGAGGAGGTAACAAGACAATTCCTTGCACACCAAAAGATCCCGTTAAAGTCGATCAAATGTGGGAAACTTGGGTATAAAGACAATGCTGTGCTCCTGGGCGATAGCTGCCACACAATGACTCCTTTCCATGCAATGGGTATGATCACCGGCCTTGAAGATGTGCGTGTATTCTTCGAAGAGTTCCGTGACCCTGGGGTATCTGCTTTGCCAGAGGAGATAGACAGCAATGGCTTTGCAAAGGAGGAGCCATTCTGTGCTGCAGGCACTGTACAAGCCTATACAGAGTTCAGGCTGCCTGATATTCACACTATGGTGGATTTTGCGAGTGAGCATTACCACGAGCTCCGGGTCGGCGTTAGATCTCGAACCACAAGGATAATGAATATGATTGACCGTTTTCTCGGCGGATGGTTACCGGCTTTAGGCTGGACAACGTTATATGCAAGGATTCAATTTCAACATGAGAGGTTCAGTGTCGTCAAGGCCAAAGAACAGAGACAGAGGAAGATACTAGGCATTATTGTTGCTAGTGGTGCCATGTTAGGTGCCAGCATTGTCGCGGCAGCGATCGTATCTTTGCAGCCGAGGATCGCGTCAATGTTATCGGTGTCCACTGCCTCTCATTTGTCCCAAATGTTTTCGCTGTCAGGCTAATTCCCAGATACTGATGAACGGAGCGAAAAACAACAGTGGATGTAGTTAGAATAACTAAGGGTTTTGGCACTAACTTAATTAACGAGGTTAACCGACTAGTTTAGGTTTTGGCGGAGCTTCGACTTCTAAAGCGCCTACTGGCGGCTAACGAACGAATTTGTTAGGGACGACTTTCATATTTACGTCTGTAGGATAGATGCAATATCTCTCATGTCGATTTCATTAGGATGTTTCAGAAAACAAAACCAACCACTCCAGCATGTGCTTAGCTAGCTACGCAGCAAACTCCAAGTGAATCTATACAGGAAATTGAAAATAATAAAACATAATATCATGACAAGTAAGCAGTAAGACAGTGCCGGAAGGGGTCAAGGGGTATTGGTATGTGCGAGGCTTGAAAGAAGCGCAGGGAGGTTGGTTCACTACCACGCACCAGGGTCGTTATCAAATCGAGCGAGTTCTTTTTCAGAATCCTCAACGTCCTTTTTCGCCTTCATTCTCATGTAGAAAATAGGGCAATCTCGACTCGAGCAAATGACTTCACCGTGCAAACTACCTTGACAACGTTGACATTGTGTCCAGAGACGACCAAACCTTACCTCAAGCTCTGAAACTTTGTTCAGGGTTCGGGTATATAATTCTCCCAGCCTGGGCCGACAGTTTGAACATACAGCACCCGACATCTCTTCCTTGCCGACCAGCGGTTTCTTGCAGCCCATACAGGTTTGAGTCTTCTTAGCAAACTTCATCAATCCCCCAAGAGTCGGTGCTGCCACTGTTATAGAACGAGTATGGTCACCCTTCAGCAGTTGAGCAGCCTTCTTTTCGCCGAGTATGGGTTCGAAAATACGGGTCAAGGGTTTGGCAAGTTGATTTTCTAGGTAATATCGGGTATCAATGGGGATGTTGTTCTCGAGGACATATATCGGATCCTCTGATTTCTCATAATTTTTAGCTCCTGTAGCGCCACCAACGATAACGTAGGCAACACGATCACCAAGAGTGGGTGCAGAGCCCGCGTCTCGTTTTCTCATACGTTCAACAAGCTCTACATGGGCTTGTTTACCCGTGTATTCTTCCTTGGTCAAGGCTTTTGTTATAACAAGTTTTGACATGTCAACTTTGTTTTGAAGCAAGTCTGAGATTATATTTTTAACATAGCTAAGAGAAATGTTAGCATTTATTATGTATTAAGAATTTCGTTGAAAATGGTAAAGATACTTACGTTTCCGCTCCACTGACATTCCGGTCGATAAGAATTTTGTTCAAAACGGTTTCAATGACAGTTTGAACCAGGAGACAATTGTCTCTCCGAACAGTTTCTATGCCCTTAGTGTCCATCTTGTCATATTTGACGGGGTTGGTCCAGTATAAACCAGCATATCGCTTCTTGTTGATAAGGAGATATGGGTAGTAGACCTTTTCAAACTCCAGTTTGATAGGCTTCATAAACTTCGACGATACGAACCCCGCAGCTTCTTCACCAAGTTTCATGGCTTCAGCTAGATCCGTGGTTCCGAATTTGACCATGACAGAATCGGTGTCTCCGTAGATGACTTTGGCATCATGCGTGTAGCCATTGGATATGGTGTATCTTGCCTCGACCTCATCCTTTGTTTTCTCAATCATCTGACGGCCATAACTGGTGGTACTACTAGCAATGGGGAGGCACGGTAGCTTTCCGTTCGTGGCTCCCGTGATTCCATACACACTGTTGGCACTGATTTTCAAGGCAAGTTGTCGGCCATTGAGCACGGCCTTCTTGAATGGGTCCTTTTCGACAGCTAATTCTCTCTTTGCCCGTTTTCTCGCTGTAAGTAGTTCCTCTAGAATCTGTGAAAGTAGTCCCTTGCGAATTTTGGCGGTGCAAAACATGTCATCATTCGGCGTAACGATGTAATCTTCGCCCTTTTTCAGTCCCAACTTTTCGACTGTCCGTTTACTCAGAAGTGTGGTGTAGCATAGATTGTGCGCCTGAATGATGCTAGGGTATAGAGATGCGAAATCAAGGGTGGCGATGGGAACTGGGTAATAATCTCTCACAGGCTCTATAACCGTTGCTCCCTCATACTGCTGGTTGCTATTATCGTCGTTCTTCAAGTCTGGGATGACAAGTTTCTGCTCGAGAGCTTTCCGGAAAAGCTGGGAGATGAATTTGATCTGTTGACCTCTAGCAAGAAGGAAATTAAATGGAACACCAGTAACCCTTGCCATTTCAGTGTAATTAACCAAGCACATGAGCTTGTCCATAAGTCGCTGAGGCAGGTAGGCATCCTTCAAACAGTATACAGCGAGACGTCTTCTCGAGTCTGGCGTTCCGTTGTAAAGTTCTGTGATCATAGTATGATGGACATCTTCCTTTTGCTCTCCTAGGAATTCAGCGCAAACGGAGTTCAAGGTATAGCTTCGCAAGTGGTGATCCCGTTGAACCAACTGCAACAAATCTAGCTGGATTCTTCCATTGGTATTGGTGGCTTTGGAGTCCCTCTTACCCATTTGTTTGCTAGCAAATGATGTTTTCGTTGCATGAGATTGGACCCCCTTCAATCGTGACCAGTACGGGAATTTTAGGCAATTCAGGTACCTTGCTCTGTCTAGCAAGTACGGGAAATCAAAGTTGGCAATGTTATATCCAATGATAACATCTGGATCAACCTTCTCCACAAAGTCTCTCCATGCCATTAGCATGTTTTCTTCCTTGTCAAACTCTAGTACTTGTGTATTCACGATCGAGCTGCATGTGTCCATGACAAAAACATTCCGAACAAAAGGCTTGGATTCTCCATATCGAGTGACTATGTTGGCAATCTGGATGACTGGGTCGATATTCGGTTCAGGAAAAATTCCCTTCCTGCCAGCACATTCTATATCGAAAGACAAGATACGGAGGGGTGCCATCTTTGCCCACTCACCATCATTAGGGTGGGCAATCATATCACGATAATGTACTGACGCTTCGATTTGGCAGTTTGACTGGCATTGGCCAGGTGGTAGGACCTCATATTTCGCTGCTGGTACCTCTACCCATGACATACCAGAAATCTGTATTGGAGCAATGATTAGTTAGAATAACTAGGGGAGACAACAAGGGTTCGGGATCCAGCTCACCCCGGTATCGATCATAAATCGCAAAAGGTATTGGATGTTATCAAATGTTAAAATTTCTCCTTCAATCCCTTTCCACATGCCTTTGTAGTTGGCGGCGCCGCTCATTATGGTAGATCGAACGGTGTTGATGGCCTTTGGGCTTGTCACGGTAATTTTAAGGTATGGGCTTTGCTGATTTCCTTGAAACTCGTACAGATTCTCTCTCATAGTCATTTGAACCGAATGTATCACCGGCTCTGTCACAGATAATTGGTTTTCAAGATATGCTTTGAACGGGACGCAATCGGCTTGAGTGAAGGCGACCGGAGCCGCAATATAAAGATAATGCATAAAGCCCGTGACATGAAGGAGTACCGAGTTACCATTCTAAAAGGAAGAAAAGGTTAGAACTTGCGAAGGAAGCTAGGTAATAGAGGGGAAATAATGCGAGAGCATACCTCTGTGACTCCAAATAACTTCACGGCAGTCCCTCCAGCCAGGTATCCTTCCTCAACGTCGATCTGCTGAAAACATAGGTTGTCTCTGGAGGGATCAAAGCCATCTAGTGATGGACGTTCCCACTTCTGGTCCTTCTCTGCATTGTTTTCCTTGAGGTCGCCAATATCCTGAGTCAACTTCTCCAACACATCCTCAAATTGACTTCTCTGCTGAGATCGCTGAGCTGAGCCAAACGAGCTTTTCAATCCATTTTGCGAGGATAACAAGGGCGCCCGGATATTAGTTTGCGGTTGACCAGCCTCGAGCTTCCGCTTTTTCGCCGAAGTAGGGGAAGTAGACCTGACCTGAACGTTTCGACGGCTGACGCTCGCATCGCCTAGTATCCTTTTCTGAGGTTTAAGAGACTCAGCCATGGTGTCAATCTGCCTAACCTCCAAAGGACATAAGCCGATTCACACTGTGGTGGTTGTCAGGAACAAGACACGCTCCAGAGGTTTTGCATCTTTTTGCCTTTTGCAAAACGCGCGCTTCGATTAAATTGAACGATGCATCGCAGGCGCGCTCGACGCTAGGCTGAATACGGAAGACCGTTAAGACACTGGCCAATTAAAGTTGTCGTTATTATTACATAATCGTAAGTATCTAAATTGTTTTCGCGTTTTCGCTGCGCGTCGTCGAATAGGCGACTCACAAACGGGTAAAAGCTGTCTTTGAGGGGCGATTTCGCGATTGAATATGTTGCATTTGGAGCATACTGAGTACATAACTTGTGAAAATTACTCTATAGATAGAGGAGATACGGATTGTTATAATTCGTACGACAGTAAGTCATCTATATAAAGACAAAGCGGCCCAGGAGTATTGAAGTAACTCCAATCCCCAGCATAATCAAAGCTGAATCAGCATGCTCAGTCTATCATAGAACAGTACTCCATAGTCGACGCTTGCTTTAGCAACTTTGCATTGGATCTACTCGGTAGTTGTTTGAGAGCCCGTGCGCTACCTATGCTTACGTCATAATTTGGAGAAAGTTTCGGATATACTTTACTCCTGTCCCGGGCGGTCGGGTCGGACGGGGAAAAATATTGATCCTGCTACCTTAATCTTCTGACTAAGCAGACTATTTTGGGTACGAAGCTTGTCCTTGCCACAGCTGGAGAGCAGAAAGCCTTTTGAGACCAGACAACAACTCGACGGCGCATTTGGCGACACAAGAGACAGCATTGCCATGGCCAGCGCATACTCATCGATATGCAATTCTGCTGATAATTAAGTATGAACATTCCACGATAAGCTGCGCCAGCCTACTCAATACCGGGAGACTACCATTATGATTGAATCTATCCCGCGTCAGCTTTTGGTTCCTGCTATCCATTATCATGTCTTCCAGACGTAGTCATCGCAAGTCGCGAACTGGCTGTTATCAATGCAAACGACGGAGAATAAAGGTAAGCTATATTGGAATGTTCTACTTATAGCATGGCGAAACTAGGTGTCGCCGTTAATAGCTACCTCAGCGCCGCAGCGTTAACTGACCTTCAGCCCACAGTGCGACGAATCCCCGGCACCCTGTGGGAATTGTCGAAAGCATAACGTTTTTGACTGTCAGTTTCCAAACCAGCCTCCGAATTCATTTTATGCCTCATTCGTCCCACTACCTACCACCCAACCTGAAACTACCAGCGATTCGCCAGCTCCGGTCATTGCTCCTCCAATAGCACCGTCTCCCATAGCTCCAGCCAGTGGTCCGACGGACACCACCATAACCCCTGCCACCAGCGCTCCGAGGCATACTCCAACAATTCCCCCAACGACATCTGCCCCAATTCAATTTCGATCAATTGCTCCTTCAGCCACCCAACTTCCGGCTATCCTGAACCAGGGTCCTCCACCTAGTCCAGCTTGGGCTACCGGAATCGAACGGCATAGCATTTTCTCCTCTATTCCCGATCGTTTTCGCGAAGATAAGAGCTTGAATTTGGAAGACCTGGAGCTACTTCACCACTACACAACAAAGACGTACCAAACACTATCCAATAACAACGAGCATGAGGAAATCTGGAAGAATGTTATACCTGGAGAAGCGATCAAACATCCCTTCCTGATGCATGGGCTCTTGGCTCTAGCCGCCCTTCACATTATCGAATGTCACGATCCCGATAACGGCGAAATTCGCCGCAAGTACTCCGCACTAGCAAATAAGCATCAGAACCTAGCACTAGCTACCTTTCGCCCGGAATTGAACAACATAACACCTTCGAACTGCCATGCTGTCTTCGCTTTTTCAAGTCTCATCGCCGCACTTGCGTTTGCGTTCTCGAGATCAGAACGCAGCTCTCAGCCCGCAGACCATATTGAGCAAGCCGTTCAAGACTTCTATCTCTTCCGTGGTGTCGACAAGGTCCTTCACGCCCAATGGTCTCGCATTGTTAAGGGTAAACTAGGCGCTCTCGTCCGCCGCCCTGCCGACTCAAGCGCCGCCTACCCGCTGTCCAAAGACGTTATAGACAATCTCGACTATCTCCATAGCTGCAATGGCGAAAGCGCAGCTCACATTCCTGCCGAGGAAAAAGCCATATATAACCATGCAATTCGCGAATTGAGGATGTCTTTTGAACGATCCCCTTCAAATTGGGAGGGCGTTTTCCGATGGCCGATGGTTGTCCCTGAACCATACCTGGGGTTACTCAACTCTCGGAAGCCTATGGCCTTGGTGATACTTGGCCACTACTGCGTAATACTAAGTCGGCTTGATATGTGCTGGTGGTCTGAAGGTTGGAGCCAGCACTTGTTTGAAGCCATTTATAAATCTTTGCATCCTTCTTGGCGTACGTTAGTCCAGTGGCCTATGCAAATGATTGGTTTATCGGAGCAGCTTGCCCACATTCCTTGATAGTTCTAGTACACCTTGTTACATCTCTGGACTTACCTTTTTCGCTTCTTACCTTTTGTTTGGCTATTCTTCTATTTGCTTTTCAATATTTTCAATAATGATGACACAGGCCATTGTATATTATTAACAAAAAATCAATTAATAGAGGGGGGATCATATTTCTCGTCTCCCTAATGGCTAGTTGACTACCAATCTCTCTCTCTCTCTCTTTTTTCCCTAGCATTTTCAAGAATTATTGCAGTTCTCGTTGAATAACCTAGTGTTATGTGGGTATCACTCGATGAAGATAAATTAAACACTCGCTTGCAAAATGGTATATCTGTATGGTAATAATTATGATTTCTTCCACAGGCTCTCGGCCAGGTCTCGTATCTCTTCTAATTCTTCTCGGACTTTCTTGCAGGTTGATCGATGGCGGAAATCCAGCTCCACCATTCCCATTATGCACATTGCCAAACGCTTTGCAATATCATTTGCTAGAGCAGAAAGGCTGTGATCATGTTCCATGTCATCTTTAGGCCTCCCATGGTTGATACAGTTGCGGACGATTTTATCTGTAAAATCTCCTGGTAGGGCAGGGCACGAACATTCCTTCTTATCTGGAACGGATTCCCCAAACTGTGGCAGGTTGCTTGGAGAGCACGTCAAATTAGACAAGACCATTTGTCTCTCCATTCGGGTATCGATCTTATACAATAGTTCAAACAAGATGACGCCTAGAGCATAGATATCTAGCGAATTGTCCGCATACGGGTGCAGGTCTCCCGAACTTTGAGCGCGGAATGAATGAGCTGGCGGACGGTAGAACTCTGTTCCAACGGGTCGAGTAGGCATGGAAGGAAAATCCTCTGGCATCATACTCTTTCCATATGTAGGTGATTCCGCCACCAAGCCAAAGTCGCCGATACGTGGAACGGAGTAGTGGATCTTTTGGTCGTGTCCATCATGGCGGCAGATCGGACACAAGTGCGTGTCTTGTTCTGTGTCTGATGGAGACAAAAACACATTGGCAGGTTTCAAGTCTCGGTGAACTATTCCCTTTGCATGAAGGTAGTCCACCCCAGAGAGGATTCCTAGCAGTAGATTTATGGATGGTATGATATGATAGCAATGGCGAGGCACGCTCGGAGAGCCGCTATCAACTTGCGGAACCAGGTACTTTGCTAAACTCAGTGGATGAAGGGACATCTGAATGTGTAAAGTGACTGGCGCAGCGGTGTCGGGCCTAGACTTTCTATCAAGTTGCATATTTGAGCCTCCACCGCCCAGCCCGTCACTGAAAATATCAGGTCCCGATTCACTTGCGGAAGTCTGGCCCGAATAGGTAAAATTGAGCTGGCGAGGAATGGATTCTACATGTTCGTCATCGATCGTATCTGTTTCATCTTCTTCGACACTGGCCACAAATGACTTCATGGATCTTTCTGAGGAGACCGTTGCGAAGCTTCCTCTTCGTCTATCCTGTTCACCGGTAGACAGTCTATCCATAGACGGCTCATGCTCTTCCTCATGCGCTGGTGATGGGTCGGATGGTTCCTCGAAAACAACTCCATGGTCGGACTCTTCAAATACGATGCCACAGCTAGACGCAGTGCCATCGTACTCAGCATAGGGGGTGTTGAGTAGCGTTTGCTGCCGTTTCGGAGGGGAAGATGACCGAGAGGTAACAGGCGTGGGTGAGTACTCTGCCCATGCTCCGTAGTAGCGAACGACATTGACATGTTCCAACTTCGCCAGCGTTCTGATCTCCTTTAGAATGTTGTCGACCTCTCTGAGGCCTCTTTCCTGCAGCTGCTGTAGTTTCTTGGAGCTCAGTGGGATTTTCTTCACTGCATAATCCTGTCCGTCTACATGGTGTCTAACTCGGTAAACCATACCATACGAGCCCCTACCGATCAGTGCTTCTTCTTCGAACTCCGTTGCGTATCGAGACCCTCCCACTCCTGACGGGTGAGAGTATAGGAATGGTATGCTAATGGACCGGGCAAGTGGGGTGGCCTGCCGCTGTAGACGGTTCAAGAGCCCAGAAGTAAACTGGTTTTGACTTTGTGAAACATCTGCTCTACCGGTTATTAGCCGTTGGAGACTGATGTTTGTTGGTTGTTTCATCGAAAACATCCTATTCTCGCCAGCTCCTGCATCGTCCTCCTTTGTACCCAGGGCCATTAGGGGGTTTTGAGGGGTATCTATGGGTGTCTGCACCGCTCTAGCGTTTAGATTTAGTCCATCTAACGCTGCCATACCAATAGTATCAAGTCCTTCGCGATAGTACTGCCGTGTGCTCTCCCAACTATCGTTATCGACCCCTGGAGCCACAATACCGTGAGAAGACAAAAACTTGGATTGGTATGTATAAAGACGCCGTCCTAGCAGCTTGACTTCCGGTGACTCCAGAGTATACTGTCCACGGCTACTAGACTGTTCGTTAAGGATGCCACAGGCTTTGGTCAAGCAGTAGTGTTCCAGCAAGGCCGCAGTCATGAGAGCCGCATGGCCCTCAGCGTCCACGTCAGGAATATCACGAAAGCCCAGGTCTCCGTAGAAAGAGCCTCCTCCCCCGCCTCCTCCTAGAATCTCCCCAGCTGTCGACTCAGTGTCGAGGCTGCTACTGGTGGGTTCAATGTCCTGGGCAGAGCTGGATTTGCCGTCCTGCCTGGGCGTGTGGCCATTCTCCTGTTCCTCTTCGGAAGATATAGAGCCTGACTCTCCGGAAGACGAGTCATCTTGAGGCGATCGAAACATGGACTTCGACATTGTCGGTCAGTCAGAAAGAGGACAGCCAGGTAACGAGTAGTCCCTTTGGTGCTCGTCCTGCCCATCCAGGCGTATTCAACACATTTGGACCGGGAGATGCCGAGAGGGCCACAACACAAGACGAAGAGGAAAAACAAAAGGGTGAAGAAGTAGAAGAAAAGAAGCTGGATCTTTATTGAATAGCAAAGCTCAATAGGGTTGATTAGGCGTGTTTTGTCGATGCAATATTCACTACCGTTTCTCCTCGCTGTAAATATAAATAAATAGAAAAAGTGACCAAAGTGAGTCAAATTTTATTTTTATTTTTAACTTGGGAGGCTCCAGAAAAGAACACATCGCTGGATCTTCCCCACGCGATCTCTGGGTTTCGAGTATCTTCCATGAAACAAGTGGCAGCAGCAGGGCAAGCAGAGTGACTCTGGCGGGCTTCTCCTGACTATATGATGTTGTCTGGATCTTCCACGCGCCCTGCAGCCCGCCATCTGGTGATTTGGTCGGTTGAATGGGCGGACGGTTGGCCTGCTCATGGGAGATTCGCCGACTTGCCCACGGCGGGGTTCCTCTGCCAGCTACTAGGTGTAAGGAAGGTTGCCAGTCGTTTACTTTGGGCTAACAACCGTTGATGTAGTGACTTCTCACAGCCGTCAATAATAATCACGTACCATTCAGCACCATTAGCCGTCGGTTCCTCCCTGCTAGTTAGAGCTTGGCCACAGGTTCACCTCTCAGAGACCGCTGTGAATCTTTGCCCTCCAAGATACCCTCTCCACATCATGTCAATCAATGACCAGTACGCGATACTTCCCTACCTCAGGCCTGGTGCGATATTAAAACCGCAGAAGCCGCTCTTCTCTCGAAAAAGAAGTCACGTGATGCAACTGAGTCCAGTGAGGTTGAGATGGGATCTCGATCAGGACTCGACTATTTAACTATTCACGGTTATAGCTACAAGGCGCCTGCATCTCTGCTCAATATGGGTTTGTCTATATATAGGGTCTGTATTCGACATGGCTTTATGCATGCAAGTCTTTCCTTGATGCTACATGACAGCAGCACCAGCGACAAAACAGCCCCAAGCAGCCAGGTCAACCACCCATGTACGCACACGGTGAACCATTAACCAGCTGTCAAGATCCGAATTCGGCCTGCCCTGCGGCCTATCCTCGATTATAGCTTGGACCTTGGGCGCTGCAAAGGGAACAAAGATAAGGTGACTTGCTGCTAACAGAGTGCCGGTAGTGTACCAGTATAGAGTCTCACGACCAGGTTTGTCAATAAAAGCATTATAACCTCCGGACAAAAGAGTAAGACCGAGAAGGCCGACAACGCGGACGAGGCCACTGCGAAAGAAGCTTCTGAAGCTAGAGGGCAGGAGGCTATTGCTCTGAGCTCGGTGGTTGGGGTTAAGGAAGACGCCCATGAGGAAGTCTTGGTCGAACGAGTACCATAACGAACACGTTGAGGTGACCAGGGGCGCGATGCGCATCAGCATACGGGGCGCGTTGTGTTCGAAGACATTTATAATGTCGGAAATGCTTCTATCGTACGGTAAAGCTGCCATCATGGAGAACCACAAATGTCGGTGCTAGACTTGGTGTTGGCCCAACTAGCTGTTCGAATATAGACTGGGATCTGAATATTCGCTTCTGCTTAAGTACAGGGATCATCAGAGGGTCTGACGGAGATCCCAAACAAAAGTGTCATACTCCGTACGCTCGCTCTCCATATACACGGTGCAGCGACTATCGGTCGAAGACTCCTGCCTTGATTCGGCTGCCCGCACGAAGCCGTCCGCATGGCAAGATCGAGTTATATACATATATATACTCCGTACGGCTACCCAGCACACAACAAACATCAAAAGATGAGACAGGAACCCTTTCTTGGCCGCCAGGGGCTTGTCCTCCTCAGCCTGAGCTTATCGTCGTTGGGGGGCGCCAGGGGTCGAATAACACTTCGCAGAGACTTAAATCTTTCCACCACCCCAGAGCTTCGTAGCGACGAAGGCCATCTCGATCACCACATTTATTATTTTTTATTATTATTCTCGTGGACACTGACTACGCTGACTTTCCCCCTGAGATCGATCGACCAACCTCCGGACGATGGGCCTGGCTGAGTCAACTCTCCACAGCCTGCATCATCTGGGGGGGCGAATCTTGGCCATTCTCCTGATTCCAGAGGCTGGAACTTGATTGATGACGACTACTATGCCGTCTGTGTGATCGTTTCACTCCCTGCATTCT